GCTTCTGACAACATGTCAACTGATAAGACCTGTCCATATTTGGGACCACTTCTGCAAGTTTATACTTCAGTTATCGGCTTCATCGATCAATCTTCCGCCAGCGTGCGGCTGCTTCCGCCGTTTGGTTCGCGATGACCCCACTTGGCAGTCCGGTTGACGGAGTTGCGGCACGATGAAAGCGGGACGGATATAAACAAGACAAAGTGCTCATGGACTCTCCACACCCACCGCCTTCTGCTTCATTAGCGCGAAGTCTCTGGAGGCCCCGAATTGCGGCTTTGGGCCAAGTTCAAGGTCCGGGAATACACTCAAGATTTTCCCACTTCCGCTTGCTTGTGGCCGAGCGCTTCGCACATGACGGCATCATCTCCGAACGTCTCGCAGTACCGTTCAACTCGAACTAGCGGTACTCGGCTCTGAGGCCAAGCGCCGCCAAGGCAGCCGCAAAGCTTGACTGCTCACGCCGAATGAAGGAATTGGTGAAAAAAAGATTGCTTGCGCAGATGGCGCGTATATGAAGGCGATCATTGACGTTCGCAGACGACGGCGCGCTACCCTCCGCGAATTTGGTGCGCGTGCTAGGGGTTTTGTCTACCAGAAGGGGGCCTTTTGCGGCAGATTGATATTAAGGTCTACTTTTTGCAGATTCGGGGTAGCATTGACTACGTAAGTGCGGATATTGCTTCTGAGCCTCAGCCGGGACAAGCCCGAGATCGGGGTAAGTCACGACGGCTTCGGCTCAATGGCTCCGATAGGTGGACTGGTTTCTCACGGTCCGCCATTCCGTACGATGCTCCGTGGATCCACGGCCCCACCGCCGGCATCACAAGCCGGGAGAGCATGGGCGGCAGGCATTGCCCGAGTTGGAATAGGGGGCCAAAAAGTAAAATAGACTAAGGGGCATAAGGGGTAAGAAGGGAATAAACAGCAGCGAATGCAAGACTTAACTCTGTTTTCTTGCATAACGCAGGCAATCCAAGGTTAAAACCTAAGCCATTTTTTTGCGTTAGATGCAAGGAACAGAGTCAGGAGATTGGACCCTGCAGTAGTTGAACACTTTAACCGGAGCCACAGCCACATGGCTATGAAAGAAGTCCCCGGTACTCTGCATTTTAAAGCATCCCACATGTTAGTCCGTGGCGCCATTTCCAACACTGTTGAACACCACGATCGTTCAACTTGTCATGAGAAAGATTGAGGCAAAAATATCAAAAGTGACGGGCGGCAGTGTCGCCGCGGAGTTGCACTGTCAGATCTGACTAGTGGTCAAATGCACTTGAGTTGCGGCAACTCACCCTTCGCCTAACGGCCTACATTGGCATCGTGCAGACCAGTGCCGCAGGTAAGGTGGTTGTGGTGGTCATCTGAGGCCGTCACATCCGCATCTGTGGCTTCGGTACTGCGCTGCAAGTGCCGCGCACTCCGGATTCTGCAGGGGACGAATAGATTACCCAACCAATCGCAAAGAGCCACGGCCACGCGAGCGGAGGGCGGTGGGAGTTCTTCCGTCCAGGCGCCCCTTGCAGGAACCCCAACTTGGCTTTGCGGAGTAGACGCACGATGTCACCTCACTCTAAGAGGCGGCAACAGGTGCTTCTCTGAGCTGTGAGCTCGCTCATACCACCTCCAATCCCCGCATCACCAGCTCGCCGGTCCTGAGGTAATTAATCAATTTGTTGCGGCCGGCTTGCCGTCAGACATAGTGACAGAGCCAAGGTTGTCGCCCTACGAGACAAGCCTTCACAAGCCTTCGCCTAGAAAGTGCCCAGCTCTACCAAAGTCCTGGTCTCAGACCATGTTCGTCCAATATGGGACCGCCTCCTCTTGGAAGAGCGGGAAGACATCCGATCTTTTTTGGCGCCTTGGTCCCACCGGGACATCGCCTCTCCAATGAATCAGAGCCACCCGGATGAGTGTTCCCAATTGAAAGCATCACCACTCACTTAGAGGAACCTGACAAGCCCCTGGCCGGAGATTAGAGTGTTCGGGGGACATGCGAGAGAGAGCGAGGGGGCTCAGTCTAACAGCACAGCGCCCATCTCATGATAGTTTAACCTTGAATGGCACTTCGAAACAGTTTTCGAGAGTCTATATAAGCTGGCCGAGGCCATCCCCTCAGTTGAAGGTTTGCTCCCCTCCTCATCCCAAGCCACTCGGACATTCTTTTCTGGCCCTGCCATTCACTCATTTTCTTCAGACCGTCTGAATATTTCCACTCTTTTTCCATTCTCCTCGTCCCGTCTTTATCGACTGAACTCCCAGCCTTTTGCCCCTTAAACCAAAACCACCATGTTGACCAAGGTTTCCGCCATCGCGGCCCTAGCGGCTGCTGTCCGCGCGCAGCAGGTCTGCACCCTCAACACTGAGACCAAGCCCGCCCTCACCTGGTCCACCTGCGCTGCCGGAGGCTCCTGCACTACCAACAACGGAGCCATCACCGTCGATGCTAACTGGCGCTGGACTCACCAGACCAGCGGCAGCACAAACTGCTACACCGGCAACAAGTGGGATACCTCCATCTGCAGCACTGGCGAGGACTGTGCCTCCAAGTGCTGTCTCGATGGCGCCGACTACTCCGGTACCTACGGTGCTAGCACCACTGGCAACTCTCTCAGCCTCAAATTCGTCCAGCAGGGTCCTTACAGCAAGAACATTGGTTCTCGCATGTACCTCATGGACAGCGCTGGCGAGAAGTACGAGATGTTCAAGCTTCTCGGCCAGGAGTTCACCTTCGATGTCGATGTCTCCAACCTCGGTGTAAGTCTACATAGCTGCCCGTAGCAATGAGTATTGAACTGACAAGGATTCCAGTGCGGCCTGAACGGCGCCCTCTACTTCGTCTCCATGGACGCGGACGGTGGTGTCGCCAAGTTCCCCACCAACAAGGCCGGCGCCAAGTACGGCACCGGATACTGCGACTCCCAGTGCCCCCGCGACCTCAAGTTTATCGACGGCAAGGCCAACGTCGAGGGCTGGACGCCGTCCTCCAACGACGCCAACGCCGGCGTCGGCAACATGGGCTCTTGCTGCTCCGAGATGGATATCTGGGAGGCCAACTCCGTCTCCACCGCCTACACCCCGCACCCCTGCGAGACCATCGGCCAGAAGAGCTGCTCCGGCGACGCCTGCGGTGGAACCTACAGCACCACCCGCTACGCCGGCCAGTGCGACCCCGACGGCTGCGACTTCAACAGCTACCGCATGGGCAACACCTCCTTCTACGGCAAGGGCTCGCAGTTCGCCATCGACACCTCCAAGAAGATCACCGTCGTCACCCAGTTCGTCGAGTCCGGCGGCGCCCTCACCGACATCAAGCGCTTCTACGTCCAGGACGGCAAGGTCTTCGCCAACTCCAAGTCTGACATCGCCGGCGTCGACGGCAACTCCATCACCCCCGGCTTCTGCACTGCTCAGAAGAAGGCTTTCGGCGACGAGGATGTCTTCACCCAGAAGGGCGGTCTTCCTCAGATGGGCAAGGCTCTTTCTGAGGGTATGGTTCTGGTTATGTCTGTCTGGGATGACGTGAGTTGCAAAACCCACCGTTTGTTTATGATGAAGAAACACTTGGCTAACATGTTTCTTACAGCACCACTCCAACATGCTCTGGCTCGACTCCACCTACCCCACCGACAAGACCGGCCTCGGCACCGCTCGCGGCACTTGCAGCACCAGCTCCGGTGTCCCCGCCGACGTCGAGTCCCAGGCCCCCGACTCCACCGTCGTCTTCTCCAACATCAAGGTCGGCCCCATCGGCTCCACCTTCAACTCCGCCGGCACTGCTGTTAGTAGCCCTATGCATCCCTTTCCTTCTTTCAACTGATGCTGACACTCATTCAAACAGTAATAAGCCATTTTTCGACTCCCGTGGCCACCGGTCTAAGCTCAGTGACCCGCGCGTGGAAGGTGGCTGAACGGCTAAGGGCACACTTTCTTGACCATTCTGGTGTAAATGATTTCTTCTCCTGTACATACACAGATGTCTTCGGCTTCTCGGATGCACCGAAGAGTCACCGAATAAAATTCTCTGCTAGTCTTTTGGACTGGCCTCTTTCGATAATAATCATTGTTCGCGTGATATGACAGCGGTGGTCTGTGTAAGCTGCAGGCTTCGTATGATTAAACATATGTAGGTAAACATCACCGTTTATTGGGCTACCGTATTGCTTGTAAGCAATGTAAATTGAAGATCATCTACACCTAAGGAGGTGATTCAAACGGCAGAAACCTTTCGCAAGAGCCTGACCATCTCTTTGAGAACCATCGTTGCGGGTACCTGAGAAGAGTCGACGACTCAGTCTTAGACAGTGCTACCAGTCGAATAGCATCTACTCATCCATTGACACAACGACCACGGAGAGCGTTACTGGGGATTTCTGAGACCTTAACGCCGATGAAAGTCAACTGATATGCCAAATGCATACATGTAGGATCGCACTGCAAGAAGCAATACGGGAAGAGTTTATAAATGTACATGACTTAGGGGCTACCACGTGATTTCTTCGCTTGAACTGCATGATAACCCACACTGAAATAGAGACAAATCCTACCAGTAATGACCAGAGATTCACAGTTCTTCTGCCAAGAGTCCAGTAAAAACAACCACTTTCCTCGACTCGAAGCAGCCTGCAAAATGAGGACAGGCACAGCAAGGACACGCACAGCAAGAGCTGCCTCTTTCAACGCGTCACCCTTGGTTGGAACATAACCCGACGGCGACCTGAACAAAACTTCAAGTCTGGTGTGACGTCGCTTGACAAGTTGATAGATGCATTGGTCATTTAACACGGGCATGAAGCGAAGCCTACGTATAAGCTATCGTATCCACCATCAAAACTTGCCGATGTAAACGTGCCACATTCTCACCTTCGGTTAAGAAAATGGACAATAAATGTATTGTTTGTTTACATTCAGCCATTAGTGACGCAAATCAGACTTCAAATGAGCCCGGCTATGTACCGGTGTGAGCACAGCAGTCATTGTGTGAGAGTTGATGACCAAGCTTACCACAGTGGGCATGTGACTGCGTGCTTCATAAGCCATGGCTCAATGCACTCAGAGCAGAAGATGTGACCGCATGGTAACTGAGCTACCACAGTTCCAACAGCAAAGTCTTCTAGGCAGACTGAGCACGTCGTCGCTGTGGCGAGCTGGGCGGTTGCATCAAGCTTGCTGTGAGCAAGTTTGGCCAACGGAGGTCTGGTTGGCAGGGGAACTGTGCGGGACCGAGTGAGCGGTATTGAGACTGGAAGCCGGTACTGGTTCTGGTGCATGCTTTGTGGCGTGGATGTCGGCAGGAACGGGCGGCGATGAATGTTCACCTTCTTCCAGGCAAACATATACAGACCCAGGCCGATCAGCAACGCAAAGGCGACGCAGAGGGCGGCTGCGACAGCACCGGGTTGCTTGGAAGGCTCCCAGGCCTCTGACGACTGGCTTGAGGCTGCATCCGGAGTGCCCGTCAGACTCATATGGAGAATGACATGAGAAGCGTGGAGGAGAAGGAGGCAAAGACGAAGTGAGGTGCTGGATCAGGATTTTCGTCCCAAAGCCACGATTCCTCGCCCTGTTTTAAAGCTCAACGACCAGAGTACAAAAGTGCCCATGGATACGTATTACCAACCGCGTTCACCGACCTGTTTTCCATGTGATGTCTCGGCTGAGGGATTAACGATCATGATGCTCGGTTTGCCATATCTGGTGTTGATGACCAGGCGTCAAATTTCTTGGCAAGCGATTGGTACGGCGTTGCTATTGTCGGGGGGACTCTGCGCCCGTTTCCCATGGGGAAATTGGAGTTTGTAGGTAATTTTAACGTAATGGATGTCCTTCGCGTCCGAAAGGGAGAAAGGGCGCGTCCCCCTTTTTGTATGAGGCATTTTCTCTTGGCATTCTCCCCCGTCGCTTCAGGGCTCGTGTAAGTGACGTTCTGGAAGAGGCCGCCTGCACAAGACGAAATTGCAAGAGCTTCAGCATATAAAAATTTGAATTGAAATTTCGGATTGTCGGTGAAACAGAGATTGTTGCATTGCATCTTCTTTGCATCCCTTGCCTCTGCGTGCATCGCCTTTCTCGTCGCTCGACGTTGAGCCGTTGTACTGCCTATTTCTCATCATTGCCATGGAAGACTCCAAGAAAATGACAGAAGACACTCGCCCTGGCGGGAGTCACGACGCTCATATCTCTTTTCGCGGTGACGAGGAGACGGGACATCAAAGTCGAGGAAGACCGGCCAACAACCAGAGTGCCGGCCGTCCGCGATCAGCACACTCAGCTGCTAGCTCCATGTCCAGGCGCCGACGACAAAGCACTTCGGAAAACTTTGGTATCCAAATCGGCTATCGAACTCTTTCAATTCACGTCTCCGAGTCCCAGCACGCTGCTGCGAATGCAGAGTCTGACCTCAAGGCGGCCAAGGAAGGCGACGATGAGTACTTTGCTGAGCTCAACTTCCATACCATTCCTGGTGCTCAGGTCTGCCAGCAACTCGGCGTTTCGCCAGATCAAGGACTTCCTGAAGACGAAGCGTCTACTCGTCTTCAGAAGAACGGACCCAACACCCTCCCAGAGCCTAAGACAAACTACCTCAAGAAACTCTTCGTCTACGTCTTTGGTGGCTTTTGCTCCGTTCTCTGGATCGGCGCTATCATCTTTTTCATCTGCTGGAAACCCCTGAGCGATCCTCCCTCCGCCCAGAATCTTGCCATGGCTGTCTTGATCCTTATCGTCATCTTTCTCCAGGCTGGCTTCTCCGCCTTTCAAGACTGGTCCACTCAGAAGACCATGAAGTCCATCACCAACCTCCTTCCCTCCGAGACACTCGTCATGCGGAATGGTTCCGTCAAGCGAATGACCGCATCGGAGCTTGTCGAGGGCGACATCGTTCACCTGCGTACCGGCAGCAAGGTCCCAGCTGATCTTCGACTTCTTTCCCATTCAGGCGACATCCGTTTCGACCGAGGCGTCCTCACCGGCGAATCCGACGAGGTCGAAGGCGCCATCGACTCGACCGACCCAAACTTTCTCGAGAGTCGTAATATTGCATTGATGGGCACAACCGTCGTGAATGGCCACGGCATCGGTGTTGTGATCCTGACTGGTGCTCAATCGGTCATGGGAAGAGTTGCTCGAGCTACAACAGACGTCGGAGAGAAGGTCACACTGATTCAAAAGGAGATTTGGAGATTCGTTCGAATCATCGTCGTTCTCACAGTCTTCCTGGCGCTCTTGATCTTTGTGGCCTGGATAGCTTGGCTGAAGCGCGATCATCCTTCGTACATGAACGTGGTTCAAATGTTGAACAATGTTATGGGCTGCGTCGTCGCCTTTATCCCCGAGGGCATGCCGGTGGCTGTCGCATTGACACTCATGATGGTCGCCCGAAGGATGAAGGCGGTCAACATCCTCCCCAAGGGTCTCTCTACTGTCGAAACTTTGGGTTGCGTCAATGTCGTATGCTCTGATAAGACTGGGACATTGACACAGAATCAGATGACTGTCAACTCTGTCGCGTTCGTGGACCAGCTCCTCAGTTCACCTGACGTTGTGCACCAAGCTCTCAACACGGAGAAGCCCGATGCGATCTTTTCTATGCTACAGAAAGCTTCCCTCCTATGCAATGACGCATCATTCGGAGCAGATTCGATGCATCTACCCCCTCGGGAGAGAATAGCCGAGGGCAACGCCACGGACGTGGCTGTCCTCAAGTTTGCTGCCTCAGCCCGAGACGGGGACGCGATCGTGTCGAATTTCCCACGAGTGTTCTCCATTCCATTCAACTCCAAGAACAAGTGGATGCTTACACTGGTCCACGAAGGTGCCGCGGAGAAGGGCAACTATTTCCGCATGTTTGTCAAAGGGGCACCTGACGTTTTGTTGCCAGCCTGTTCCAGCTTCTGGTCGGGGAGAACACAATCAACCGAGGCCCTTGGCGCAAATGCCAAGACGTCATTCAAAGAAATTCAGGACAAGCTTTCTCGCAACGCTGAGAGAGTTGTGGTCATCTGCGAGAAAGTCTTGGAGACTGTTCATTCTCCTGGAACCAATGCCTTCAGCGACGAAGTTGCGATGAAAGCTTTGGAGAACCTCACTGTTGTGGGCATTCTGGGTATCATCGACCCTCCCCGGACGGAGGCCGCCTCCACCGTCGCCAACTGCCGGCGTGCTGGGGCGAGATTCTTCATGGTCACTGGTGACTACGGCATTACTGCCGCCGCCATAGCCCACAACATTGGCATTTTCACCACATCAGAACCCGACACCTTCGACACCATCAGGAGGGGTACGACACCCACAGCCGAAGAGCTTCGACGTGAGCGCCTTGCTGGAAACGGCCGCAGTCTCCTTCTCGAGGGAGCTTCCGTTGCTCGGCTGATGGCACAGGACTGGGATATTGTCTGCGAGTACGACGAGATTGTGTTCTCACGCACGACTCCTGAGCAGAAGCTGCGCATCGTCAATGAGTTTCGCGACCGTGAGAATGTGGTCGCGGTGACTGGTGACGGTGTCAATGATGCTCCGGCACTTCGGGCTGCTGACGTCGGCGTAGCTGTCGTCACAGGCAGTGATGTTGCGATTGAGGCAGCGGATCTTGTTCTCATGGATCAGTTTGACTCCATCGTCGAAGCCATTCGTCTCGGACGTCTCGTCTTTCAGAATCTGCAGAAGGTCATTGCGTATCTTCTTCCTGCAGGCAGCTGGTCTGAGATCTGGCCGGTGCTCGTTAACGTCTTCTTTGGAGTTCCTCTACCGTTGAGCGTCTTTCTCATGATCGTCATCTGCGTCTTCACCGATCTGTTTCTCTCTCTATCGCTCATCATGGAGAAGCAAGAATTTGATCTGCTCTCCCTTCCTCCCCGCAATGCCAAGCGTGATCACCTCATCAATCTCAAGATCTACGCGCAAGCATACCTCTTCACGGGATTCATGGAGACGGTCTGCGCGCATTCAATGTTCTTCTTCTACATGTGGAAGTACGCCGGCTTCCCAATCCATGAGCTTTTCTTCTTGTTTGAAGGCTACGCTGAAGGCTACCATGGGTACACCCTCGATGAGCTCACCAACTTCAATGCAACCGGCCAGTGCGTCTACTTCGTCACGTTGTTGTTCCTCCAGTGGGGCAACATCCTCGCGGTTCGCAACCGGAGACTCAGTATCGTTCAGGCAGATCCAATCACCAAGGTGAGACGAAACCCGTGGCTTATTGCGAGCGCCATCATCAGCCTCGCGATCGCAATTTTCGTCACCGAAGTTCCCGGGATTCAGAAGCTTTTCGGTACAGCTTCCGTTCCAATTGAGTTCTGGCTTATTCCCGTGCCTTTGGCGTTGGGCATCTTATTCATGGACGAGATTCGCAAGCTGGTTGTGAGGCTGTTCCCGCGAGGTCCGATTGCTAGAGTTGCGTGGTAAGCGATGACTCGGAATACAACCGCAAAGAAAGAGGTTGCCTAGAGACGTGAGCGGCTAGACTAGAATACAATGTTAAAAAGCCTGGAGCTGTTTCGATATTTTGGACACGGTATTGTGCCATATGCCCATTGTTCCGCCCGTACGACCCTTTGAGGGACCTGGCTTAGAGCTCACTATTCCGTCGGCTGCCCCTGAGTGTGTTACAGATGCCGACTGAGCCAGACCAAACTTTCGGTTTACCGGGCCCCACAATGATCAACACACCAGACAAGTAGAGTGATATCAGACCAACACAAAATAATAAGAGTTCGGATAAGATAATTCGAGTTTGCTTGGAACTTGTAGGGGAATAGACCGAGCCGTCAGTGAAGTCACACGCAATGACAGCGAAGCGGGAAAGATTGGCGTCCCGAAGTCTGCTATTTGAATCCGGCGCCAACAAGAGCAAGACATACGGGCATTAGAGTTCAAAGTACTTTATTTGAGGTCGCTCCACTGTTTGACGCTCATTGCGATGTTCTGAAGCTTTTGCTGCCTCTGGCAAAAGACATGAAAATAGAGTTCGAGGAGCCACTTTGTTGAACCCCACAATACGGGCTGCGCACCGCATAATTAGGCGCAAGTCTGACGAGTTTCGTAGGATTGAAGAAAGGCATCGCTCGCCAAGATGAGCCGAGCAAACAATTGGAATGTGATAGATAGTTCATCCGCAGTTGTCAACAATGCGAACTGGGATCAAGGCTGTTTTATTTAGCACGAGGCCTTCCAAGCTTGCTAAGGTCGGGGAGCAGGTTTCGCATCAGCAGGGCATGTCCTGTTTCACATTGGGAGGCCGTCTTCTAGAAGCGTTGTTGATGGCCCTTACTGACTCAGTAACGCGGGATTTTATCGTAAATTCGCTGCGCCATTGATTGCGACGTCGGCACGCCGTTCAAGGCCGTCAGGTAGCTGGTAGGGCTGTATCCACCGTTCCCGTTCTCTGGGGATGAACGCCCACGGAGTGCTGCTCGCCTAGGGGTCTACAGACTTCCGAGGGGGGCGCGGGGGAACTTCGGCCCTCTATTATGCATATATAAAGGGCCTACACAGTATAAGGTCTAGCATATACTAAGTATATACTCTAGCCTTAATATAACCCTCTATACGTAAGCTTTCTAGGGTATATGCTCAGTATATACCCCCTAAGCCTTAGGGGCTTTAGGGGCCCTACCCTCTAAGCTTTAGAGGTTATACCTAGCATATACTCAGCATAAGCCCTACCTTAAAGGCCCTACCTTAGGGGCCCTGCCTTAGGGGCCCTGCCTTAGGGGCCCTGCCTTAGGGGCCCTGCCTTAGGGGCCCTGCCTTAGGGGCCCTGCCTTAGGGGCCCTGCCTTAGGGGCCCTGCCTTAGGGGCCCTGCCTTAGGGGCCCTGCCTTAGGGGCCCTGCCTTAGGGGCCCTGCCTTAGGGGCCCTGCCTTAGGGGCCCTGCCTTAGGGGCCCTGCCTTAGGGGCCCTGCCTTAGGGGCCCTGCCTTAGGGGCCCTGCCTTAGGGGCCCTGCCTTAGGGGCCCTACCTTAGGGGCCCTAAGGGCGCGCATATGCTGAGCATATGCGCAATCATCAATCCATTTTCCCCTCGTATAAACTTTAGGGCACTTAGAGAGCTTTTTTGAATTTCACTGTATAACTTGTATTTTTTTGTATAAGTATGTGGCGCTTACACGGCCACAGCCCCCTAGGAAGTCTGTAGACCCCCCTGCGAGGTGTACACCCGAATGCCCACACCCCGTCGTCGATGATAAATAGCTATGCCGCTGGTCATGTAAAGCTCTCTTTTCAACAGCCAGGCTCCTTACCACATCATTGACTACTTCTTGAATTTGAAGCCATTCTCGAAAAGAGAAGTCCCAAAAACAGTCAACCATCGAAGTCACTGGCACGTGCAATTAAGCAAAATGAAGGCCTCTGCACTTACACTAGCCGCTGCTCTCTTCAGGTATGTCCACAAAATCCACTCACAAGAATTCATTGGCTCACCACTCGTAGCGCCGCCCTTTCTCAAGAGCTGTTTAGATGTCGCTGCGCGGACGCGAACAGCAAAAACATCGCCGGAATTACCGGTCTTTGCGCTACAAGAGGCGGGGTAGCTGAAGAGTCGCGTGACGATCTTTGCATCAAGCTTACCTCGAAGCTCACTGACGAGGATTGCGCCAAGATTCAGCAAGGTGCCAAGGGTGATTGCATCGTGGACAACCTGGACGAGGGAACTACGTTGGTCACGACTGTCTACGCATCAGCCACGGCCACGCCCACCGCGAGACCCAAACTCTGAGCTACTTGGGTCATCAGAGACATGATTCACGAAACTCGAAGGTAGAGACTGTGGGATTTGCAGTAGCTAGTACGAAAGCGCGGCTAGCGGTACAACGGCACGCAAACATTTTTGGTCGATCATCTTCTGCTGAAGTTGACTTGTTTAGCATGTACAATACTGGTTATTGATTTGAACTTGAAAGTTACACGAAGTATCATTTTTTGGAAGTTGCAGTGCAGTCACCAATTGCTTGGTCGACGGGGAGATAATTCCCTCTGCTTGAGCGACAAGTAATTTGATCAGACACAACGTCATGAATTCAACACTAAAGTAGATTGCAATGGATACATCAGCGGGGAGGTATGAGTTTTAACCAAAATCAAAATCTACAAAATGTCCACACATTCACACATTCACAATATTCCAGCATCTATTCATCCCCCTCCAGCGGGGGCGGGGGCGGGGGCGGGGGTCGCAGTCCCCCATCGCCTTTCAACTCCTCCTGTGATATCTTCCATTCCTTCACTAACCCTTCTTGCCAAGCCTGTACTGAGATCCACTCCTCATCACCAGCAGGGGTTATTATGAACACCTTGTCGTCCCCTTCCATGGCCTTCACCGAAGGTTTTCGGATTCTCTTGGCCAAATCCCCAAAATAGAAGCTGTCTCCTTGGGGAGGAATACGTAACCACTGATGCTTCGGGCTGCAGACGACCATTAAATCAGAGTCAGGATCGCGCAATCGAGTGAGACACTCTACGCAAAAGTCTCGATTGGCGCAGTGCGTGCAGTGAAAGAAATTCTGGTCTCGGTTCACCAGATTGGTGCATTTCTTTCCATCGGGACCACTGCCATCACAATGAGCGCCCCATCGTACGTTCGTCATGTAAATCTCGATCTCGGGGTCAAACAGCCTGCTTCGAAGCAAAGAATGCGCGTAGAAAGTGGCACCATGCCCGCTGGGCGTAGGCTTAGTTTCGCCATCGGCTGCGTTTTCTTTCTCGATATTGCCGCTGTCCTTGTCGTTATCCTTGCCTTGAGCTGTGGGAACAAGATCCTCGAAGTAAGCTTGGGCAGCATCGAGGCGTTGGTACTGTTTGTAGAGATCCGGAACCTGAGCCCCTGTAGTCTGGATGATGTCTTGCGCCAAAGTGGTAACTACCTCCAACACCCGCTGCCTGTCCTCTCGTCTGACCTCTTTCAAGTCCTCAGGACTGAATTGCAGGGCAGCAGTGACGGTGTCCGGTGGGATGAGAAGAGATAAGGCGATGGAAGCGTCTTCCAGATCCTGGCATTGTAAGAAATTCTGGAAGAGCATATCGAAACCCACGTAGTCGTTCTCAGGAATGTCGTCCGAAAGGATTTGCAAAGCTTCCTTGACTCGATGTCGGAGAACCTCTCGGGCGCTTTCCCTGTCGTTGTTACGCGCGTAGAGAGCTCCCAAAAGTCCAGTAGATTCCATATCAATGTTTGCAACCTCAGAGTCGTCCTTCGCCATTTTGGTTAGTGCCTCCATGTGGTCATGTTGCAACCCCTCGTCCAATAACTTCTCGAAATAGTGGTTCGAGAGTGCTGATGTAGCTTTGGAGCGCGCCCTGAGCGCGCTAGGTCCGCCGCATCTCTTGAGAAAGTCTCTGCTTTCCGTCCAAAGCCGTATGGCCTCTTCTGTCGGATCTGTGCCATCAGTCGAGACCCCAAAATTGTACGCTCCTACACCTTGGTAATACAACAACATGCCCCTGATTTCATCGTCGACGTATTGTACACTGGGAATCTTGTTGGCCTCCCTCCGGTGAAGGATCGCAGTGGCGGTCTCCATCGATTTCATGATCTTCTTGAGAAGACCCGAGTCCTCCTTGGCTGAGCGGAACACGCCCCAGATAAGGGAATCATAGCCATCCTCAAGCATTACCGATCTGAAAAACTCAAGTGCCAACTCTTGGTCAGTCTTCGAAAAGATCTTCTCCAACACCTGTATGACTTCTGCAGGGTCAGCGAGACTCAAGGTCGCTTGGAGAAGACCTATCTGGCCGCATATGACTTGTGATGTTTCCTCGCTTTCACAAGCGATTGAATAGTGGTCCGCCGCTTGACGCACATTGTCAATCTTAGCAGCAATTCCCGCCAGCATGATATGCATTGTGACAATTTCCGCGTTGTTTCCCTCGGGGTGAGCGTTGTCCTGCGCTGCTCTGTCTAGAGCAATCTCAAGCTGTGCGATGGCGTCCGCTTGCAAGTCTAGGCAGTCATATACCACCCCAAGTTCACGGTAGCATAGCCAACTCGGATTATCGCATTCGATAGCTTGCTTGTATAGCGAAATTGCCGCCTCATAGTCATTCTTTGCCGATGCGGCCTTGGCCAGACCCTCATACCACAGAGAGTCCAGATCAGTGTCTGGCAGACCCAGTACATCTTGACACCATTTATTTGTGGTTTCCCAGTCAATATTACCCTCAAGAGAAGCAATGTATGAGTCTACTTCGTATTTCTCCTCGTTGGAATCGTCTGGAGATATTGGGGACGGCGCGGGTTGAAGTTGGTCCTGACTTACGTCAATATACAGATCTGAATGGAGATTGGCTAGTTGCGGATTACTTACCAGTTCCATAAAGCGTTTCAGCCATTTTGAAGCGTTGTACATTTGCCAGCTCCTCTGTCTCAAGAGGCCCCGCAACATCGTCTTCACCAATTCATTTAAGTAGCCCGTAATAGGACTGGAAGCCCTCTGGACAGCCGTACGCCATTTCCTATCCACCTTTCGCACCGCTGCGGAGTCCATAAGCCACGTTTGGATGGCTCTCATCTCGTCCACAGACCACTCAATATCCTGCCAGATTTTGATGTGGCGTTGGAAGACTGTGTCGTCTTTGAAGATTTTATACAGACCCTGGCCAACAGCGTCTCCGCAAGTGCAATCAAGTCAATTTTGACCCCCAGACTTGTTAAATTGGCTCTTTTTTCTAGCGTTTTTGATTACTTGCCGAACTTGCAATTAAAACAAGTCAATCACTATATAAAGTGATGTTATATAGACTTCTTAATCGGGTAATTTTGAGGCTATCTACAGCCTCAGAAGCCCTCCTAGGGCCCCTCCTAGGGCCCTCCTAGGGCCCCCTAGAAGGACCCTCGAGAAGGACCCTCGAGAAGGACCCCCCGAAGGCCCCCCCCCCCCCCCCCCCCCCCCCCCCCCCCTTCTAGGGGGCCCCCTAAAGGGGGGCCCTCACGTATGCCAGTGTGGCTGGCCGTTCTAATAAGTGGGGTAATAGCTGATCTAAGGCCTCTTATTGGCTAGATTATAAGATATCAAGTTAGCCAAGTCAATCGGAGGGGGTCGAATTGATTACTTGAGGGATGGCGATGGCCTCACTTTGACTAGTTGACTTGAATAGTTTGCCAATCCGATTGCACTTGCGGAGACGCTGCTGGCCAATTTCTGAACGCTGATCATCTCTTAGCATTCCCTTGTCCTCATCTTCGAGCTCGCGAACGCGATTGAGGTGGTACGGTAAAAATTCAACAACGTAACGGCCAACATTCTGTGTCGCATCCGTGGGCTCGTTGCTCAAGTACTTGAAAGCCTGAGTGACAATGGTGTAGTTTGCTTCGAGCTCGTCGACGGCAAGAGGTCTCTTGCTGCTGTGCGCTGGGTTGAAAGCCTCGCCGTCGAAATTGAACTTGAACTTATTTCGAATTGCCATGTCCGCAAGGTCCCACAGGAAATTTCCACAAAGCTCTTGGTCGACATTGTTGATGGAAATGGTCATACTGATGGTCGATCCTCCCATTGACTGTTGCGATTGTCCGGAAGAGGTGTCGACCTTCTGCAAATATTCCTCCATTCCGTCCTGGAGATAAACGTAATATTCATCTTCAATGCTCAGTATAGCCGAGTATTTGGTCCGAATTACGTACTCGAGGGACGTCAGTGAAGCAATGTCGGAGGTCAATACCTATAATCCGCATGAGTCTATGCGTCTTACTTCGTACACAAACAAACCTACCATAGCGGCCTCAAGCTGTGCTAAAGACATGTAATCATGGCTGTACATGACCCATTTCAGCAAATCATTGAGCTCTGAAATATCGTCTGCGGTCAAGGAGCGCTCCAGGTCTTTGATAGCGGCTTCCAGGCTGCTCATTGTCTGATCAAGCATTTCGTCGAGCTCCTGAATTGCAGTCCGCTTGCTCAGTTGTCGCTTCAACCTGTCCAACTCGAAGCGCAAGAGTGAGTACTTTCCGTCAACCTTCGGAGGTATCTTCTCGAGAATCTTTGCCTTTGCCCTTTCCTGTTCAGAGTTTGGCTTCGTGCTTTGCAGCATTCCATTTTTGTTGAGCGTATCCTGAATGAGGATGCGCATGTCGTCTTGGTTGTGCTTCTCCATGTCGATTCGAAGCGCTCCGCTGACATTCGCGTTCTTATCAAACAAGCTATTCGTGCCGCTGATCAGTAGACGCGCCCGCCCCGCCGACTCTTGCTCCAGCTGAAAGTCGGAAGCAAAGTCCAGCAGCATCCCAGCTTGTGCGTCAGGGAGGTTCTCAACGCCGTCAAACAAAAAAATAGTATGTGGCTCCCGAACCAGCCGCCCCAATGTTGAGTTCCTTCCACAGATCAATCAGGTCCAAGCTTGTCGAGGAACGAAAGACTGCCGGCTTTGTGTCGCAGGCTTTGCCCAACGTCTTCAGCACCGTGGCATCGACCCGAGCAATTTGAAAAGCCATGTACTTCAAAGCAGACTGTACGGAATTCTTGTTGTCATCCGACTTTCTGGCACTCGGTGGAAAGAAGTAATGCGCAACGTAGGTACGGTCCTTTTGCTCCTCCAGACGCTTGGTGATTAGAGCGCAAGCTGACGTCTTGCCAGATGATGGGGGACCAGAGACGATAAGCACGTCTCTTTCTTTACCCGCAGTCCAAGCGAGGTATGCATGGTGTCTCCAGATCCATGAACCGGTGTTGTCGAGACACTTGTTGGCGAGGTCGACGCATGTCTGCGTGGTTGTCGTGTCGAGACGAACCGTCAATGGCACACCTAGAATATCGCGAATCTTGGTCAGAGTCTTGGTGCGATCCGAGTCGTCGTTCAGAGATTGCACGCCCCTCTGCGTCTCTCGCACCATCTGATGCGTTGCCTCGGCGATATTGCCGAAAACGACAATCTTCTCGAGTGCGACGGCCATGTCCTTCCTCGTTTCTGCAACCACAGCAAGCGTCACGGTGCCTTCAACGTCACGTTGGCCCTGGAGAAGCCCCTTGAATTCGGCCATCTCGTCGCTCAAACCCGAGTTCTCGCCCAAGATGAGCTTGGTCTGCTCCCAGAAGCGGTCGCGTTTGCGACTCTGGCGATACTTGACGACATGGGCGCAGATCTTGACGAAACTAACCAAAACCAGGTGGATTTGTTCAACTAACAACGGATCAAGATTTTCCACCGATCGGTAAATCTGAAACTGAGACAGTGCGGAAGAAACTTCGCTGAAGACGCTGTCAATGGCGTTGTTGTAGCCCCTGATGGTTTGAGGGATATCAAAGACGAAGGAAAGCGCTGTTGTAGTAATGCTTGCTGCTACAGGAGGGATGGGGATCTAAGGACATTAGCACTTAATCAATGTTGAACTGGTGATGCAGTCGTTTAGGTATTCAAAACATACCAGAGATGAAGCTTGGGCCGCGGCTCCTACAAGCAACTTCAAGTATTGCAACGACTTGAGTCCGACCGTTTTCGCAGTGTCCCACTTGTCTTCTGGTTTTGACTCGGAACCTGAAGCCCTCTCGCAAGTTTTCTCAATTCTTCTCTGAACATCCTCAAAACTCTTGACTTCACCTCGCTTCAGTGACTCTCCACAGATGCTTTCAAAAGATGCAGCGGCTTCGGCCCATATCTTATCCATCGATATACCTCCCTTGGCTGTTCTGCTCTGAGGCAAGTCCGAATGCTGATGATTCCTCATTCCGTGTTATTGGTTGGCGATAGAAAATGGAAGGGTGGGTACTGGGAAGCTGAGTCGCACCTGGGTTCCGATATTTAAGACCTAATGAAGGGGGAACTCGGCATGAGCAATGGATCTTTTGTTAGAGCTGAGAACTTGGCCCACCTCTTTTCTTGCCTGTCTTGAATGCAACCTAGTCTACGTCGTAACCAAGTCGCCAAATCTGGCGCAGGCTGCAGCCTAATCCTACATGCATGCTGAAATTAGACCCGCCGACCGGTCCAATCCGCTATCACAATCAGAGGCCAGGGGGTCGGGCTTGCGGCGCAGAATCGCAATCGGCAAGTCGTAAATGCCGGAGTACAGTTTGGTAAAATGCTGCCTGTACTGCCTAGGCTCCTGGGACTGCGGTCGCCAAGCGTACCTTATTTTTGAAGATGCAATCGACAGCAGAAACCTCTGGGAGTAGCGAAGGCTTTCAGCTGTGCTGTGATAAGCCACAGGATAAATGCCGTAAATTTCTTTAAGTGATGTTTGCATTACACAGCTGTGAACTTGATTATCCCTACCGACGCTTTAGCAGTCCAGCCGCCAGTGATGCACCCACCCACAGCTATCGATAAGTGCAGCCAACGCTGAGTGGTGAGAACGAGACGGAGACCAAGTCAAAATCAACGAATCATGTGTGCACTGCGTGTCCAAGATCCGACGCAAGGCTAGACATGGCCATGAAGTGAACGCGGGGTTGAAGGTCCTGTTCCCACTAGTATCCCGCCTTCCAGTTAGAACCAGCATCAGCGAGTCTTGATTTGAAGCCCCTTTGCGACATAATGCCATTGCGGCGCTACTTAATCCCATATTCTTGGCCATTAGCAATCACCATGTGTTATCGGATCATCGAGCTGTATAGCGCTTGCAGCTGTCTTTACTACGAGCACGATATTGACAAATGCGCGAGCTATGGCAGACGTGGTCATTTCGTTCAGAAAAGAACGATTTTTGTTGGATACACATGCCAGAACCACACTTCATCGGTTGCTGAATCCTATCCGGACTCTGGCATAGCGCTTGGCCCCCGACTCGAAGCAACGAGTTCGTGCCGTGTTCCAGGCGACTTGCCAGCTTCCAGGCAATCGCAAGACATACTCTCGCAGCAGAAGGGTCTGGTTCAAGAGCGAGCCGATGAACTTGACGAAGGGTACGAGGAACCCAGTCCGGCCGCTGACCATGGAATCTCGGGAGGGGCCCGCCAACAATATCCAGTTGAATCAAGCCACAACGTTCATGCTGGTCGCTCATTATCTCACGAAGGCATTACCAAACCAAATTTGAAGACCAATCTTCCGTTGAAGTCTCCGAGAAAAGGTATATTAAAAAACTTACATGGCATCTACCACCATCTCTCAAAGCGTGATAGCTAACGACGACATCTTTGTGCGTACAGACTTGGTTGGCCTGGCAGCAATTTCACTCGTCGATGGCGACCTCAAGCTACTTTGGCGGAAGATCATAAGCCAGGCCTTGACCTTTGAGGAGGCAGTGAAGATAGTAAGCCGACATGTGTCGTTGCATTTCAGCTATCTGGAATCCCTCGCAAACACAAAGACGCAACGCACTCTGGTCATCACTCTGAAGCTCGTTGAGAAAAACGTCAGCGCCAGAATAATAGAAGCTATTGAAAGCAACGCCGACAGTGAGGATGAAGCATCGTTGAAGCCTTCTGCAAGGCTCGAGGGATCTCAAGAGCTTCTCGATCGACAGGTTTTTCTGGCTCACGGGCAGGCTATTGAAGAACTAAAAGCAAGACTCAAGGATACCGTCACTGACGAGAGCTCTTCTTTCCCAAAATCAGCATTAACAATCTATTATGCTGGAATCCGAAATGTCTTGGATCGTTTCTCAGCAAAGCTGACAAGGGCATGCGGAACCAGCGAAACTGGGGGTACGCCAAAAGCTCACATAATGGAATGGACTTGCGTAAGTTTTCTTCACGTCTATATTGTTATGTATACTAACTATTCTCTTACATGGAAGCCCTCCCGTGGTAGACGACTTAGAGACAGGTACGTCGAAAGGCAGGATGGAGCATTCGAGAAGTTGAAGATGCTCCTCAATGCATATTCCTCTAGAAGATGGAAAGAAGGAGCGCTACCTATGATTGAAGCAGAAGACGCAGGACAGACTCAATCGAAATGCATTGGGCATCTTCTACCCAGCTTTTGGAACTGGGTACGTGGTGGAATCCCACAAGCGCTGCCTCGACATCGACCAGACCAGCAAAACAAAACCGCCGAGAGTTGTCAATCATTGCGCTCTCAACCACAGCAGGCGGATACTCCAACTCACAAATTCGTCCTCCTTTGCATTCCCTACATGAGATGGGGTACAAAAGCCCATCAGCCCAACGTATGCGCGATTGAGTCAGATCAGCAATTCTTCAACTTTCTACGCGCGTCCTATGACACCTATCGTACGCAAGGTCGCTGGAATTGGCTGAGAAATGTGAAAGCCATTGATCTTGTCAAGGTATGATTCCTTGCTTACGAGAATCAAAGTCAGTCCGCATACTAACTTGATTAGTTCGAATTATTCCGCAACGAACTGGCCAACGTCCACGACTCTGCGTTCTTGCCTGTTGGAAGCGACTTCGAATATGAGCAATCTGATACAGAGCCTCCTATTGGACCCAATCTTATGATGCATCTCTTCGAAAACCCCAACCACGCTGATATCTTTCCTGTTCTGCTCCGAAGAATTCCAAGGAAGATGAAAGAACGGCTTCGCCCGTGTCCAAAGAAGGGCAGTTCAATTGGATGGGGTGTACAGTTTAGAGAAACCTTGAATGAGATGTACGTCTTTGCTTTTGGATGCATAGGCTTCATGTTGTGCCTGGTAATTTCAGTGGTATACACTCTTATGAAAGACGACATACAGGGAGGCTTTGCAATCGGTGGGTTTGTCTTGGCTTTTCTTCTTTTTTGCGGAGGGACTTTGCATTCATACGTCGCTTGAGTGAGGAGAATCTTTGAAGTCGTTGGCAACAGATCGGGCAATAGGATATTTGTCTGCTCTTCCCGCTGCAAGGCATAACTACTACGTCTAAACCTGGGCGCTCTTCGTTCTTCAGCCTCTGGGTGCTCAGATGGCCCTGGACAAAAAGCATGCGCAGAGATTTTGCAGCCCACCTCCTTCAACTAGATAACGGAGAAGTCCTCATAGTCTGGTGCTGTTACAGAAAGCACAAGTGCAGTGTTCCTTCCACTTCGGCCACCTTGCCTGCTACCTCTCCGGCACCTCCCCGCCAGGTGATTCTAGGGTCGGTTGTGGACCCACACCAGCATCAATCAAGGGACGTGGTGGCAGAGTGGTCTAATGCGCAAGACTCGAAATCTTGTTCTTTCGGGAGCGTCCGTTCGAATCGGGCCCACGTCGATTTCTTTTTTGAATTTTTGTAGTCCTGAGTCTGAATGCGTGATGGCTGGGGGTGACGGAGGTGAGTGAAGTCATATCGGTGGCTCGTGCGCTGTGCCACCATCTTCAGGCTCGTCGGTGTCTAGCCTTCGAAGTTTTGATGCATGCAACAAGTGCGTGTCTAACTATTGATATGTTGACGTGCGCTAAACTGTCGCCGTTTTCGCGGACTTCATTGCGGTTGAAACTGATCAGCCAACAGCTGTGAGAAGCACGACCAGTCCCATCCGACTCCATCGGACATGCTCGGCGACCACTCATCACCCGGCATTGGAATGCCACCCATGGGATCATATCCAAAGTCGTTGGCGCCAGGGACGATGTAGTTCTGGTTGAATATCGGTGCTGCCGACATGTCGGGAGTGGGTCCCGCCTCTTTCATTTTATTGTTGTCCGCCCAAGTATTTGGCGTCTGGTTTGGGCCGTCGCCTTGGGCTGCCCAGGGATTATCTTGGCTCCCTTGTGTTGATGCTGCTGGAACTGCTGGTGGGATGGGTTGTGCAGCCAGCCGTGTCGTGGCCGGCGTTGACTGCTGCAGAATCGTGTCAATTTTGTGCAATAGGCCATTGAAGAGGGCGTCGCCCCGGAGGCGAGAGTAAGCCTCCTTCATTGTGTCCGCCGCAGTTTGGATCAACTATGCCGGGTGTTAGTAGGCCAAACAAGACGCATGAGTATTGCTTACATGGAAGTCCATTGCGGAGATGCGGGAGTCGGGATGCGTGGCGACATGGACTGATAGCGTGACGAGAGCATGGAGGGCGACAAGCAAACTCGGATACACAGAGTTTGACTTGGAATCGAGAGTCTCTACGAGAATGCGAAGCATCTTTCGGGAAGCGTTGGCAGCGATCGACGGTCCGTTCCGAACCATGTAGTCCCATGGCTTGCCTTTGGCGATGATGTTGGCGCCGCTCGATATGGCTTCTTCGCTGATGAGGAGACTATTCCTCGACAGGATGACGAGACTGAGGTTACATTAGTTAGTCATACTAAAACTCTCATGATGGAAATCTCCCTTTGTTAGATCACGCCCGAATGAGGAAGACTTACGCGTTGTTGTAATGCATCGAGATAAAAGAAGCAAACGGACATATCCTAGAGCCGATGAGGATATCTGACGTTGGTCTATGACAGACAATTAACTTCATTTTCAATGCAATGCAGAAGTTTTTCGGGTGGTCCGGCACGTACCGAAGTTCGTCGGGAACGGACTCGCCCCATCTCGTGAGGAGCAGCTGTGCCTCTCCGGTAGTCTGAACCTTCTCGGTAATGACAGCCTGCAGCGCAGGTCCCGTGACACCGTCTTCTTTTCTGCTGACGATGACCGATTTTCGACCAATCTCACTCAGAATTCTGGCGAGATCAACCGTCACTGCGAACGCTTTGCCTTTGGAGGATGTCTCAGCTTCTGTGTAAGTCGCAAGTTCCTGCACATGAGCGGGGTAGCAGTCTTCGTCGTCAATCGAAGACAACCGGCCCATCTCGAATGAGAGGAACTTTTCAAAGGCATAAATAGCAAGCCAGAATATTCGGCGCTCCTCGTCGTCGAGGGCGTCTGGTTTCTTGTTTTGACACTTGCGACGACATGTGCGCGGCTTGTTCAGCCCCATGGCGATGGCCATGGAGACGCCGACGCTGAGCGTGTTCCAGGCCCCGGCGCAGTCGTCGTAGCAGTGCATACATAGCGACAACAGGACAATTGCTCGGATATTCTCGACATTGTTGGCGACGACGAGGTGACCTAACAGTGTCTTGCAGTAGTCGAGGTACTCTCTTGGATCTACGACGGGGTCGAGCAGTGGTTCGGCAGAGAACCCGATGGACCAGATGAGGTACATCTGAGCGAGAATTGCCACACCTCTAGTCTCAGCAAGCTCTACCGGGCCCGACTCCAGGGCCAAGTCAAGGTCCTTTTGGAACCGGTCGCGGTTCAGTAGAGGATAAAGAATGTTGACACCGTCAAAGAACCTAGCCGCCAACAGGCGCGCGCATCCTGCGGGAGGGAAGCGGCAGGGCTCCGATGTAAGAAGCGCGCGGATTCGGCTACTAGGCGGGTTACTTGGGGGCGTCGGTAGACCCCTCCTGTGCTGCAGACCCAGCCGGCGCGAGGCGAGATCCAACCAGTCGGCTAGAATCTCGACGGAGGTACTGTGCCGGCTTGGTCGTACTACGGGTAACTTTCCTTGGAACTTTCCATTGCCGTTAGGAGGCTCTTCCTCTTCTTGAGGAGGAGCTGTGTGAGTAGCGGGTACTGATGTTGAGTTCCTTGTCCTCGGTGTTGGACCTGTCGTTGTGGAGTGAGAGTCTTTCGAGCTCTCATCATGGCTGAGGTCAGCCACAGAGGGCGAGCTCTTATGCCCGGGAATGGCAATATCCGCCGAGCTGTGGCAGATCTCACCGCCTCTGGTAGACTGAGGAGACGCATAGGGTCCAGCCGGAGTCGCGGGCTGCGGCAAGGACGAGGTGGACGCCCGCGACATGCGGCGCTTCGTCTCGCGCCGCTGCACCTCGATGCCGGGACGACGGCGATCGGTGGTGACGCACTCGATCCCAGCGGCGATGCAGGCCCTGCATGAGGGCTTCTGCTCGTCGCAGCGCGTCTTGCGGTTGCGGCAGTAGTTGCAGGCGAAGTTGATTCGTCTACGCTTCGCCTGCTGGCTCTCTGCCCCCGCGCTTGACGGGTCGACGAATGAAGACGAGTCACCCGGAGTGGGTACGGGGTTTGCGTAGGAAGATGACATATTATTTGTTTGGTATGGAAAAGAGGGGCGTGACTTGCGCCGCTGACTGGAGTGAGTCGCAAGTTGTCCTCTTGCTGCTGCTGCTGCTCCCGAGCCAGGGAGCTGATCGGGAGTGAGCGTAGGACTGGATAAGGCAGGCGTTCGGCTGGCGCAGAATGGAGATTGCAGATACCGAAGCGTCGTCGTTATGAGAGGCTCACTCTTTTTTTTGGCTTTGGGTTCCGAAACAACGGACGCGGCTCAGGGCAGAGTTGTGTGCGCGAGTGTGCGTGTGTGAGGGCGGACGTTTCGGCGATTCATGTGGAACACCAGCCGACGGCCCCTCATTCCGGCAGCGCTCAGGGCTTTCCGATGGTGGGGGGTATCCATGCAAATGCGGGCATGACAGATCTTCACGGGAATTGCCTCTGATGTGACTGGTTGATCTCGCTTCTTCCCCAGACTATCCCCACGGGGTCAATTGGAGCACAGCCGTGGGGGACACAGTCAACGCCAAGTTCCCCGCGTTGAGGCGCCTCCCGTACCAATTGCCGGCTGAGAAATGGCCCATACTATCGGGAGTTGATGGGTCTGAGCCGAGCCGATGAGCCAGCCACGATGTTTTAGTAGTATTGTGTGCTTGCAGCTGAGTGTCAATGGATACGACAACAACAACTCAAGGCTGGCAGTTTTCAAGAAAACAGCAATGCATATGAATGATGAAGCGCTTTCAGATAGGGCAATAGACTTTTACCGTAATTGTATTTAGACGAAGACAGAGAACCTTATTGAGCCCAAACGTATTCCCTGACTCATAACCTCCGACTTCACCTCAGGCTCGGAGACTTTGCAGAGCCTTTCAATACCGCCTTTTCGTTGGCTCATTGACTTGATAGCTGAGGTTTTGGGTGACTAGAGATGTCGGAGCCGTCTGTACCAAAAGATGATGAGCCGCGGGTTGACACCGTGGAATCACCCACCAAACCACCAGCGACACAGGAGGCGCAGGCGCACGGCACGGTTCAACTTCTTCAAGGGGGCTCAGTCGTCTTGATTCCAACTCCGAGCCCGGATCCAAAAGGTACATCTGCCCATTGTCAATGGCATGTTCACAGAAGCATCGTCGCTTCAAAACGTCGAACGGGGTTGACTTGAAGACACACAGATCCTCTGAATCTTCCAACATGGCACAAATACCTCATCATCTTCGTCGTTGGCTCGTACTCAGCAATCGCCGTCCTGGTCACCTCCGGCCTGGGAGCCGTATTCCCGTCAGTCCTGAAGGAGTACCCACCTGAAGATGCAACCCGCGCAACCGATCTCCTCACCTATCCGACGCTTTTCATGGGCATCGGAAACCTCTTTTCTATGCCCTTATGCGTTCCCCTCGGGCGGCGGCCTGTCTTCCTGGCCTCGCTCGTCTTGATGGTGGTGTCGGGAATATGGTGTGCATTCTCCGGCTCGCTGAGCAGTCACATTGCAGGCCGAAACTTCTACAGCATCGCAGCCGGCCAGAGTGAAGCTCTGGCTCCGTTCATGATCGAGGAGATTCACTTCCTCCACGAGCGCAGCGCGAAGCTTTCCTGGTTCATTGGCGTTCAGACTGCGGGCACTGCTGGCATGTTCGTTGCGACAGCTTATCTGGTGCCAGCTTGGGGTATCAAGTGGTGGTACATTATCGTCACTTTGATGAATGCCGTCATCCTGGCCCTGGCTATCTTCTTCGTGGTGGAGACCAAGTATGACAGGCCAGAAGACGCTGATCGTAAGCTCTTTTCCTTTACATTTACATGTGTGATAGATGAGAGGCCTAACCTTTTTCTTTCGCAGGCGGCGCTGTTCATCTCAAGTTCGACGACGAAGGAAATGTCACCAAGACCGGCGACATGGAGAGAGTCATCCAGGTCACAACACGCGAGAATCACGTCCTTCAACCCGAAGCGTTCGGTGAACGGACCTGGCGATCCGACATGAAGATCTTCCACTTCAAGCCCGACTGGAGTCAGACTCTCGTGTTCTACAAGGAGACGTTTCAATCCTTGTGTCTTCCGAATATTGTATGGATGTTACTCATCAACGGAACTTTCTTGGGTATCTATGTCTACCAGGCATCGACCTTTGCGACGATTCTTATGGCTCCGCCGTACTCATTTCAAACTGAGTGGCTTGGCTATGTCCAGCTCGTCCAAGTGCTAGATTGCGTCATTATGGTACCCCTTCTTGGGTACGGGTCAGATATCTTGGCGCGGAAGATGAGCACGTGGAAGAACGGCGTCTTTCAGGTTAGTGAAGCCAATTCGATCTACCTGGCAACTCGAAACCATTTCAATTGCTGACAAGATATTATAGCCCGAGTACCGACTCATCATTCTCAGCATCCCAATCGTATCTGCAATCGCCGCATGTGTGTTTTACGGTCAAGCCGGCTCGCATCCGGAACAGTGGCACTGGATGACGATCGTAGCGCCGTACCACGTTGGGTACTTCGCTTTCCTCGGCGCGAACCTGATCGGAATCACCTACGCCATTGACAGTTTCCCGAGCAAAGCCGGGCCGCTGCTGTTGGTCATCTGTGCTGGTCGGGGTTTCATCTCGTTCGGGCTCAGCTATTCTACAGTGCCGCTGATCAACCTAACGGGGTACAACGGTGCGATGAATATCTTTGCAATCATTTCGGGTGTGCTCGGGGCTATCACGATCCCGGTGTACTTCTTTGGAAGCCGGATTCGAATGTGGGCGACGAAGAAGCTTTGGCCTGAGATGGCCCAATAGGATTTTAGATTAAGGAAGATTGTTGATTCAATTGAGTTTCATTTGACGCTTAGACACTGCCAACCAAACATGAAGCAAGCAACAATCCCACCTGAAGCTTTCCACGTTCAAGGCGGCACCATGATCGACGAAGGCCTGTCTTCGCCAACTATACAATCCCCAACTCTCGAAACCTAGGTCGGAAATCCTATCTATTTAATGTTGTATACCATGCAACCATGTATGAGCGGTTTCCATGACCACCGGAGCCGACTGATGCAAAGTCAGACAGTGTCCTGTATTGGGTATAACGACAGAGCTGAAGGTTGCATTAGGAAATAGACTTTCCGTCCTTCTGAGCGCGTCCGCGCAAGTGTCGGGGCCTCCAGGACAGAACAGAACATCCAAGTCCCCCGTCATCACCAAGACATTACCCCGATAATCTGTCTCGACGGGTTGTAGGCCAGGAGACAAAAGTTCTCCGACTGTGACGGTATCTTCCCGGTCATAATCCAGCGCAGGAAGAGACTGATCAAAGCTACCTCCGTAGAAGCTAGCCGTCCTGTCGCTCTCGTTCATAACGGTCAAATACCCTAGCGGCAGTCTCTTGAACCTAGACGACACCATTGATGCGCCTCCGTATGCGGAGAGGGCACTGGCAGAGGTGCCTAGATCTCCCGAAAATCCCGTCAGAATGAAGGCGTCGACATCGAGTGGATGCTTCTGCGCAAGCACGTTGCCGAGGGATGATCCGTATGAATGTCCGACATAAATGATCTTGTCAAAGTCTCCTAGCGTGCTTCGGCCTTCCTTGACAGTGTGAATTAGGTTATGGATGATTTCCACTTCTAAGGGACCCTGTACGACGGCGAATGGGTCCGGATGAGGTGATTCGATGCCATGACCGAGCCTGTCGATTGCGAGCGTATGGTACCCAAGTGAAGTGGCGTAGGTCTGCCAGTCATACTGAGGAAATCCAAAGCCAGACCACATTGCCCTGTCGTATGTGATGCCATGAACCAGCAGTTGCAGGCTTGATGAGTTTGGTGATTCTATCGTTGGCCGACAGTGAGTAGCTTTGATGATGAAAGTTCCGTTGACATGACGCCGGCCTTGATGTGTTTGCATGGCATCAAAGGAAGAGGCTAGAAACGTAAGTATGGCGGTTGCGTTGTTGACATCGGGCAGATCTTCGAAGACGATATTCGCAGCTTCGGCTGTGACGTTGATGGAGACCGAAGAGCAGGACGGGCGTCGAGGAAATGCAGCCGATAGGCCGAGGGAGGAAAGGAAAACCAACACTAGGAGAATTTTCATAGCGATGATGACCCAGCGAATAGGAGGTTCGGCAAGAAATCGGGAACTTTGGGGAAACTCCCGTGCTCGTTATCGTCAGGGATAGGTGTGCGAAGTGTGATGTGAAGGGGTTGAATATTGTGGTAAAATTCCAGAACATCGCACCTAGATATATCGTACACTTCCTGATATCAACTGAACACCTAGTAGGCTTGGGCGGGCGAACCTGCTTCCACGTTGAACTTTCGGAATTCGCGAGCACCGAGTTTCCCGGGTTTCCAACCGCCAAAGCCGCGCACGTTAAGATAGCAAATGCTAGCGTGACTTGCAAATCAGGCTCCTAAATTCTGCGAATTTCTCAGCAAGTGGAGTCAGAATCTCCGATGTTTTCATCATGGGAAAGGGGAAGCCGGTCATTGCTGCAGTGGGGCCGGTCAAGGTCGGAGGCCGGTTTTTGCTGATCTTGTAACTCAAGACTCTGCACTAGAAGCCTTTGATTAAGTCGAGCAGGAAGGTGACAACGTCGACAAAGCCATTTGGAATCCCGACTGAGCTCTAACAAGAAAAAAAACAACTCTGGCAAAATCGTAAGGTTAGTTCGATAAGGTGTTCGGTGTCACGGAGTAGTGGTGGATGTTCTCAACAGCGTCATATAAGCTCGGCGACAAACGCCTGATTGATTTTGCGCGCCATGAATGCGCTGATCCTGGTGGACATGATCGGAGCTCTCGGTGTTTTTGCTGCTGGTCTTTTTCTGAGTCCATCACCGCTTACTACTACTGTGCCTTCCTACGATGCCGGTATGTAGCTGGGTCTAATTGGATGCACGACGACAAGAGCTTTCAAGGGAGCCATTTCTGGTGCACATTAGACTGTCGATCGCTTGACACCGACCATGTCGGCACTTCGCTCATTTTCTCATGCCGAGCACACAAATTGGCACGAGGATACGCGCCGAGAGGTAGTCAATTCAGCTGCGGTATCACCTTTTGTTCAAAAGATGATTGCAATTTCACCTCTGTGTCCCGGTTTTATCTGTAACATCAAATGAACCTCAGCTAGCCGCTGCGCGTGAGCGACCTTCACTCCTCCATAGTCCAGAGACTCACCCACTATGTACGTCAGTGTAGCCTGCAGAGTGATCATAAGTTATTTCCCGAAAAATGCAGTATCAGCGTCCAAGTTTCACTTCAAAATGCAATGCGTGAGCTGCTGGGCGATGGACAACGTGTCAAGTTATCTCCATAGAGCTTGGAGAGTTGAGCGTCACAGCGAAAAACGGACCTAGATCTGGACCCACAAGCTATCATGAGCTGGAATCGGTCTTTCGACGCCGCTCACGTCGTGAAATGGCTCAAGTTTATAACAGAGCTTGTAATGCCCAGTGGCCAGGGTTTGGTAAGAGATCATCAAAAAGCGATTTCAGTCCAAATCAGGACGCTTCTCATAATCAAATTGTCATGACAGTGTCAATACTCAGGCTTGGTACGGCGACGCGACGCGTCTTAATCAATTTTCGCGACACCCCACAGCACAGGCCTGTGTAATTTCCGTTGAAGAAGTCACTTCAATTTTCTATCAGCTCACACACGTTGAAACCACTTTTCAATGCTTGAGGAGAGTCTCAAGCTTTGGGAGGCAAGCTTTTACGAATACCCGCCACCATGGACCAGCCTTCGGAATCCGTCGTGATCTCAGTAAGAATCGATGGCGCCAGCGCGTACGACCCCGACACCGGGGTCGACGCCATCGCAACAACGATCCCCAGCTTCTGTCGCGGCTGCAACGCATCAACTGCGCACAACAACATCCCCGTGATCCAATGCGCGTGGAAGAAATTCGAGGAAGCCGAATCCAGCGCGTCCTGGGAGGAGATCATCGTCAAAGGGGGCATCGGGCCTTGGGACCGGATCAAAGCCGCCAGGGACGCGGCGGACGCGGAGGTTGTGAGAGCCGAGGCTCGCGTGGAGGAACTCACCAAAGCCCTGGAGATTGCAAGGAGCAAGAGGGAATGCGCTGTTGAACGCTTGAAGGGAGCCGACGATTACCTTGAGAAGGTGGTCGGGACGGTCGCAAGCGACAGCGGGCGCCTGGAGGAAAAGTTTGCAGAAATGACATCTGGCGGCATCGACTTGTACAACCTCTGGGGATCTTGTCCCACAGGAATGCCGTATAAGATGATCGACAGAATCGATAAACGGTTGCATGATGTTTTTGATACGTTGCAGTCGACGACGCACATTACTGGAAAGTCTTATGAGTATCCAGCCGATGCTCCTCAGTTGTCGAGACCAGTGGTCGCTGCGACCGAGTCCTCGAACGCCACCGCGGAGCAATCGAACATACAAACACCTACACCGTCTGAGAAAAACCCTGGAAACAACCAGGATAGAAGGAGAGGGAAGGGCAAGAACAACAAAAAGCGTCGCAACGACTCCAGAGCACAGCCTTACCCAACGCCGGCAAAGCAACACCGTGGCACTAAACAAGGCGCTGCGATGCGCTCGGAGCTGCCCAAACAGGCGGGACCTACAACGAATGTCAAGCGAGAGGTTGTGGAAGAGCCAGCGACATCCGTTAGCAATCAAAGTAAACCTAGCACAACAAACAGCGGGCCTGTGCAATATCTCCAAACGTCGGTCAAGCAAGAAGACGCCCAGCTTGATCAGATACCATTCAAGACCGAGACGAGGGCGCAGCCCTTCGAAGGAATGGGTTCAAGCGGCCTCTCATGCGAGTCGGAGTTCCAGAGGGTTGATCAGAACGACCTGCGGCATATTGCTGGGGGATCAAATCAAACCAGCAATGGCATCGACGACGGGGGGCCTGATGGAGTTTACAGGAGCGGACCAGGAGAGGCCGACGTGGAGAGTTGAGGGGATGGCGAAGTTGGACGAATCGCGAAGGAACATAGAGAGAATGATAGGCGGCCCAATCAGTGGAGTCGAAAAGTAAGTGAATTCACTGTTTTGTTCTGTCTTCTGTAGCTTATCAATTGTGTTTCCTAGATGGCTAGAAGCTGAGAAGAAGAAAGTTGGATGGGAAGAAAGATTCGAACACTAAAAGCTTCCCATACACATATCATCCTCACTGTTAGAAACTAGCATCCGATCAGCCATCGCAGCATCGCTATTGCAGGGTTTAAAACCTCGTTTCCGCGCCAACGCCTGGAATACACACATTACCTCCCGCTGCTGAACATCTCTTACATCCATATTGAGCCACCTTTCTGGGGGCACAGCAGACGCAGCCCAGACATAGTAACCTCGTGCATCCAAGACCAACACCGCTGCACTCGCCTCAGCATCGCAAGTCTTCCATCGCCACATTTCGATAACCCATTTCCGAGCTCAGCAACGATGGAGGATGAAGTGACCGGGCATGTAAACGGAGTGCTAGTGACCTACCGCGACCCTGTCAACCGAATCAAAGACCTAAAGGATCCATGTCACTGCTGCCATGTTCCCCGTGAGCTTAGAACACACGCGGACGACGTCGAATGTCGCAAACATGATGTTGAGCCCCGACAGCTCCACACCAACGATGTCACGCGTGCAGTCAGGAACAGCTTTAAAATTGGCCAAGGCTTGAAGGAACACTGCGCGCTGATGAAAAGGGAGGTAGCAAACGTCCAAGATCCTGTCACCTACCTCCTGGCTGCCCCCGAGAAGGCGCGGGAGGCAGAAAATTCGTGCCGTAGAGAATGCGAGCAAAGCCAAAGAACCGGTGGACGCCGCAAAGCAGTGCATCGCAACAAGTAACGTCCTAGAGACGAGGTACAAAGATCTCTGCTCGGCTGCCGAGAAGTATTTGGGTTTGATCGTTTGTTTTGCAGGGCTTTGCTGAATCATACGTGATTCCAAACGTTTGTTCTTGGCCCAGACTACAGCTTCTCCTGACATGTAATTGGAACATTCGTTATTCAATTCAGTTTAAACTCACAGTCTGATATGAGATAATTCTAACACACTCTCAACCCAGAACCCCCAATTCTCTAAGCTCCAAACGTGTCCCTCGCTTCAATCGGCGCCCCCTGGATATACGGAATCCCCGTCAACTTGAACCCCCTCTCACTCAACCTCGGCACCTCGCGCGGCTTGCCCGTGTTATACGGACACGGCTCCCCGCCCCTCTTCACCGGGATCCCGCCCACGTGCATCGCATTCGGCCAGTGCGTCGTGCTCTGCAAGCTCTCAAACGCGCCCTTCTTCCGCACCAAGTCCTCCTGGCTCGCGTCCGCCGCCGGCATATAACACGTGTACACACAGAACCGCGGTCGCTCCCCCTCAGGGCTCAAATTGTAGTGCGGCGTGCGGCTGTCCCAGAGCAACAAATCCCCCGGCTCCGCATCAATCTTCTCCCACACGCACCCCCTCTCCTCAAGCCACTTCATCCCCGCGTCGGTAAAGCCGTACCACTCCTTCGTCCACGCCCAGATCTTGTCCGGCTCGTCCTTGAACGCCTCATGAAACTGCTCCGACAGGCGGTGCGCGCCCTTGCACACAATCAGCCCGCCGTCGCGCGGCCCGTTAGGCAGCAGGTTGACCAGCCCCTGCAGGCAGCGGAAGCCCGGCTTCTGCGGGTCCTGGTCCTGGTGCGGCCAGGGCTTGTTGGGCTGCACGTCGGCGCGGTGCGGGAAGGCCATGTTGACGGCGTCGAAGGAGACGATGAGGTCGGGCGTGTCGTAGACGCGCTCGAAGGCGGAGACGAGCCCGGGCTCCTGGCGGACGGCCCAGGTGAAGGACTCGTGCGCGATGCCGTAGCCGAGGCACATGCCCTTCTCGGTGATGATGGGCAGGTTGGCTTCTTTGACGGTGGAGGGGTCGTTGCGGTCGAAGCCGAGGCCGTCGACGCTGTTGGGGGTGGTTAGCGGGGGGAAGGTAGTGGGTGAGGGGAAGGGGGGGAGGACTTACAAGTTCTCGAGGTAGGACATCATGTCGTCGGCGTACTTGTCTGCGCGCTCGCGGGGGATGGCGCCCTTGACGACGACGTAGCCGTCGCGGACGAGGTCATCGCGGAAGTCGCCGTACGTGACGCCTTCTTTGGCGAAGAGCTTGTTGGGCCCGGCGGGCTTGGGGACGACGGGCGTTGCAGAAGATGTCGTCTCTGGCTTCTTGGGTGCCGGGACTGTAATGGTTGCGGCTGCGCCAGGGGAGTTGTAGTCTGTTGCGATGACCATCTTGCGGTAGCGTTGCGGGGTCAGCTGTCTTTGTGAAAGGGTATTGAAACTCTTCAGTCCTGCTCTCTTTTGAACTTCTGACTGATTTGATGCGTTGGACAGATAGAGACGCCAGAAAGCTTGGACGAGGTTCGTGAGATGTGTTTATACTTGACACTCTCTGACGGTTGACTGTTGAGCAATATCAGCCTCAGCAACTCTTACGCAACAACTGGATAACCACGCCACAATTGAAACTTACATCACTAACTCTCCCGAGGAACCACATCTTCGGGACATTTCCGCCAGGCCCTGCGTGTCGTCCTGCTCGGTCCGGCACGGAAGTGGTGGGGGAGAGGGACAGCAGCTACGTTGTCGGCACGGGAAGTGTCGGCTCGGAAGCGGTTTTGGTGCGTGCAAGTGTCGGCTCGGGAGTTGGTGGGTCCCATCCCTCCCGCGGCCCCGGATCTGATATCGCATCCCGCTCGACGATGGTAAGTCATCAATTGACTTCCGGATCTTCGTCCCGGATGAGATTCGCGGCTCGTGATATCGTGGGGTATCGTCCTTTCCTCCAGATACAAGTTCTTTTCATAAAGAGACACCAGAAACGCAATGTACAATCCCTCACCACACGCAACTCCCCCCCTGACACGCACCTCCTCCGTCTCTTGATTCCTCCTCATCAGACACTTCACAAGCAGACGTACAACCCCTCCAATGACATCAACAACCTTCCGCGGGGTCCCCGTCCCCATCGAGCCTCTCGAGGCCCCGATCCCAGGCCGCGATGGCTACACCGGCCTCAACCCGCGCACCGAAACCCTCCCCGCAGGCTGGAAACACCCACACCCATCCGCCCGGCCCCTTCCCTCGCCCATCCTCGTCGAGCGCGACGTCGCCATCACAGTCCGCGACGGCACAACCCTCTACGCCGACGTCCTCCGCCCTCCCACCTCCAGCACCGATGCCAAAGTCCCCGCGCTGATCTGCTGGTCCCCCTTCGGCAAGTCCTTCAACGGCCTCGCCTCCCTCTCCTACATGACGCCCTGGTCCCTCGGCATCCCCGCGGGCACGCTCTCCGGGCTGGAAAAGTTCGAGGCCCCCGACCCCGCGGACTGGGTGCCGCGCGGGTACGCCATCGTCAACGTCGACTCGCGCGGCGCCTTCGACTCCGGCGGCGTGATGGCCATCATGGGCACGCAGGAGGCCGAGGACGGGTACGACACGATCGAGGCCGTGGCCGCGCTGCCGTGGTGCTCCGGCAAGGTCGGGCTAGCCGGCAACTCGCACCTCGCGATCGCGCAGTGGTTCATCGCCGCGCTGCGCCCGCCGTCGCTTGCGGCCATTGCGCCGTGGGAGGGCTGCGGGGACTTGTATCGCGAGCAGTTCGCGCGCGGGGGGATCTACGCGGGGGATTTGTTCGACCGGCTGATTGTGCAGCACATGCTCAAGGGCCGTGGCGGGCTGGAGAGTTTCCGGGAGATGTACAAGGAGCGACCGCTTGCGAACGCGTGGTGGAACGATAAGAGGCCGGATATGAAGAGGATTAATGTGCCGACGTATATCACGGGGACGTGGACGAACACGATGCACGGGATGGGCGCGATCCGGGCGTGGATGGAGGTGGAGAGCGAGGACAAGTGGTTGAGGTGGCATCCGTGGCAGGAGTGGTACGACCTCTGGGGGAATGAGAAGGCGAAGGAGGAGCTGTTTGCGTTTTTTGATTGTTTCTTGAAGGGGGAGGAGAACGGGTGGAAAAGCACGCCGAAGTGTAGGATGGCGCTGTTGCGGTTTGGGAATAAGGTGCCGCAGGCGATTGAGGACATTGTGGAGGAGGAGTTCCCGCCGAAGCGGACGGAGTACAGGGAGATGTTCTTCGGAGCGGAGGGGAAGTTGTTGACGGAGGCGCCGAGTGAGTCTAAGAGTGTGGGCTACGCGTCGGCGGATGGAGAGAGTGTTGGGTTTACGTTTACGTTTACCGAGACGACGCGGGTGATGGGCTTGCCCAAGGCGGTGCTGTTCATGTCATGTCCTGATCACGACGATATGGATGTGTATGTCATGATCCAGAAGCTGGACAAGGATGGGACGCAGATGAAGAACCTCAACATCCCGTGGAAGGGCATCCCGGTCAAGAGCTTTGAGGAGTTCAAGCCCGAGGAGGAGACGGAGGTTGTGCTTTACAAGGGGCCTGTGGGCATCTTGAGGGCGTCGCATCGGGCCATCGACGAGAGCAAGAGTATGCACCCTCACTGGCCGTACCATCCGCATGAGAAGGAGGAGAAGATTACGCCCGGAGAGGTGGTGAGGTTAGACATTGGGATCTGGGCCCTCGGCGTTGAGTTCGAGGCGGGAGAAGGGGTGAGGGTCGTTGTCAGTGGCAAGAGCTTCGCGGTGAACAACTTTGGGCTTGATCATACCCTGAACCGAGGCCGACATGTGGTGCATTTGGGCGGGGAGTATGCTAGCCGTGTAGTTTTGCCGTTTGTATAGATGCCGGTGTTTCGGCGAGATGATCAAATGTGTCAATAGCAATTTAGCTCTTCATCCTGTCCCAGGCAATGCCACTGTGATGAACAACGATGGAGCATGAGGAAGCCAGCTTCGCACTGCCGAAAAGCTCGGGCCATGCGTTCAAGACCGAGTCCCTTGCCCATGGATGAGGGTAACGGCAAACAGTGACGATATCCTTGACGGACGTTAAGTGCTTGCATGAGCGAGCTCCGCCGAGAGCCACCCACCCAGGCGTCATTGTCCGGACCAACGCCCGGCATTGCGAGTGCAAACGTCTGCCGCCTGTTTTCGCCGTTTGTCTTATAAACGCGCCCCCGTGACAAACGTCTGAGTCGTTGTCACCACGCAGGTAAATTGAAGGGGTACACGTTGTCGCGTTCGCGTATCCCGGTAGAGTTGCATGTTGCAGGGATGTTGAGAGGTTGGTCGCCGACGGCGCTTCAGGTTGAGTGACTTGCGCGCCGAAGCTCTCATCCGTCCGGCCAAAGCCGCAGTTCCCCTCTTAATGACATCCTCCGTATCAAGATGTCGACGGTGTTTGTGACGACGTATCGGCGCCACCAACTGTGATGCTGCGAGCTGCAGAAACTGCTCAACAATTCGAAATTATGGCTAGACCGCCCCGGATCTCACTGGACACTGCATAAGTGCCCTCAACCGGCTCTGCAGGTAACAGGCGGGCGGCTTGGCTTCAGTCACATCGCGGGCCGCCCCCACGGCGCCAGCCAGATTACGCAGTAGGCGACGCAGCGGGAGCGCCGGCTGGCTGTGTGCGTTTGTCCGTCACACGACATCCGAGTCATGACGAAACAGGAGGTCGCATAGGGTAGAAACCCAATCCAACGGGGCTTCTACTACGTAGGCGATTGACAATGCTATGCCCGGGTCAGACTCATCGAGAGAAGAGTCCTGCTTGGCGGCACTTGCTTCTAAGAAAACAGGGAAAACCGGGGACCTTGGGCAGAGTTGGAAAGGCCCACTCCACCAGGGGAACGTTAACCAGATTCCGGGGACGCTATCTGGGCTGTGGTGGTGGCCTCAAGGTACGGCCGCGGCGGGGACTTCCGGCTTCTGGACGATGGCCGCTGGCGTTTGCTCTTGGGGCTGAAGTCAGTTGGAAGCGAGATGTTCTCAGCGGTGGGTGTTCAGGATTGAGACATGATGTGATTCCTGGAACACGCAGTCAGAGACACGACGGGTGGCTTTGCGACTGGGAGGATGAATCGTTCCACGCGTCCGTTGGGCTGCGATGAGATGGAGTCGAGGGCTCGGCGGCGCGAGGTTAGGGGATTCGGATGAGCAGCTAGGCGGCAGCGACGGGGAAGACGGCGACGGCGCCGAGTCAAAAAGGCTGCGGCTCTCCTGGCCGTGGGAAATGGCGAATCGCGATGGTGCAGAAAATCCCGTTGTGCTAGCGGTAGCCCGCGGGCTAATATCGCGTCCGTCTCGATTGGGAGTCGATGGTGGCCAATATCAGGTACCAATGCGACCACCTCCTCCGGGTAGTGGCAGACGGAGATTTCGTGCGCTATGACGGTGATGGACGAGGAGGCGATTGCGACTCGGTGTCGATTGTGATGATGTTGGGCGAAGGGATGTCGTCGCGTACGGGCGTAGTGTGCGACGAGTTCGTACGACAATTTGTTCGTTTCTGGGACATGTCTTCAACGCCAGCCTCTCTTCCCGCGAGAAAAGCAAGGCCTCGCCTCTGGATGGCACCGAATGTCGGCTTGGTCTGTCGAAAAAGACCTCCCTCAGCTTCGACCCCTTTTGCGGGTGTGACGGCGCCCTCAAAGGGTGCGCGGCAGAGTTGGGTTGCAGCCGGAAACCGGGGCAGACCTTGCTCCCGTCACGCTGGAACGATGTGCCATTGGATTTGTGTCGCGAGGAAGATGCAGGAGAAAAGAAGCAAAAGCAGGGATGACAGCTCGGAGCAATTGGATGGCGCCCGCAGTGGGTTGATTGATGACTGCATAATCCCTTGCATAAGTGAGCTAGCTGCCTTGCCTGATGGATATGTTTTGTGCAGCTGCAGGAGGGGAAGCTACGGGTAAGGGAGGGGAAGCTTGGGCCTTCCTGCTGGTCGAGTGTACTAAATGTTAGTGCAACGCCTGGCTGGAGAACGAGGAAAGAGCGATGGGAAAGAAATGCCCGAGCTCTGTTTAAGCTTCCACGGTCGATATTTGCAGATTTGGAGCATCCATTTTCATCTGCGCCGCAAAGAAATGCAAGATTGACAGTGTTGCCCAGTGTCATAGCGACGTCCACCTGAAGGAACCAAGGATCTTGACAGGCGGGCCACCTGCCCTGAGGGACTGACCCTCCAGTGTCTGTGGGCAGACGGGACGAACGAGCTGCCCAAGCTCCAGCACCTTGAACCTTCAACACCGACTGAGTCTATTGCATCGCGAAGAAAGGGATCGCCAGCACCAGCCACTGCGTAGTAATGATGGAAAATGATGAATTCCCTAGGTTGGACGCTGCATCTCAACAGGCCATTAGTGAGCTGTTCTCTCCCAGAGCCACCCGCTAGAGGACGACTAGCGACTGACGGGTGTCAGCCAGGGGCACTAACAGCGACGACCTCGCGCCGGCAATCTCCCCTCCACTGCTATTCCTGTTCCTGTTTCTGTGCCTGTGCCTGGCTGACCTTGGACCTCAGGCCTGGCTGGCGCTTTGAGGGCGGCCAAGCACCACAGACCCAGAGTGAGGCGCACCGGGTTGGCGGGATCTTTTTGAGGGTGCTTTGGCTGGCGCGTTGGTTGGTTCCTTCGATTGAGTTGGCCTGGCTTGTAATGGCTTTTGGAGCTCTGGTAGCAAAGGAAAGGGAAGGAAAGCAACAAGGGAAGGGACGAAGGAAGAGACGCGTCGCCGGACGAAAAGAAGCAACAACAACGAAGTGCTCCTGCTTTTCTGATAGCTCTGGCTTAGCTTCTTAGCGCAGGTGCTGCTGCTGCTCTGCTCTTTCCTTCCTTTGGCTACTCTTTTCTTGCCTCGGCCTGCCTGGACCTGCCTTGCAGTCGCGACCTCAAACCTGGACCTTCCTTTGCATTCGTCACACATCTACAACGTTCTTTCCATTGCACATTTTGCCGGCTCTGCCAGCTGCCTTCCTCCAACCAACCAACATCACCAACATCAAGTGGGCTTTCTAAATTCTCCCGACATCCCCCCACTGCAATCCCTGCCAGCTTCGCATCACACATCACAGTTCCCACCTGCAGTGACAGTCTCCCTCCCCGGCCGGCCTGTCGTCCGCTTCCCATCGCATTCGCAGCTCAACCGGACCCCATCACACTCTTGCGACGATCCTTCGATTGGCCGCCCTTTCTTGCTGCTCGCCTCCCGCCAGGCTTCACAGGCATGGGTCAGGAGTAAGAAGAGGAGCTTTCACCCCCGCGACCCCTGCTCCTTGCCTGCGCCTTGCCGAACCCTCGTCACTTCTGTCTCGCTGCATGAGACGTCGCTTGCCCTCTCGTCCTTGCTTGACTCCCGTCGTCTCCTTCCGACTCGCGACCCTGAGAAATGTGTTTCTTGCTCCTCCGTCATTCTCGTCATCCTGCTTCTTTTCTCTCGCCAGTCGCTCTCGTCAGATTCACCATCGCGTTTGCGCCGCTGACTGTCGCTGCGCTCCTCTGACGAATCCCTCCCATCTTATCCCATCGCCTGGCCTCAATTGGACGAACCCCGCGACAGCCCTGGCCACCATCGACCACTCGCCGTCCGATTTCCCAGGGTCCAAGGGTCCCGTCGAAGCGAGGCCCAGCTTTCAACGGAGTCGACCACGAGAAGGCCCTGTCAAGCTTGTCGTTTCTTAGACGACGCCGCCGACGACTGTCACCGCAACATCAACATCAATATTGTCCGTCTTGACCGCCACCGAGCGCGACTCCAACGACAATACCAAGCACGCGACACCCGGACCGGCACTTGCTAACAATCGCGTATCCTACATTTGCACTTCCAGATACCCAGCATTTGGCTTTCTACTTTTCCAGCCTCATTTGCCAGTTCGCGCAGTCCCCAGCCGTTTCTCCGCCATCCGAGACATCCCACCATCACACCCGTCGTCAATTGAGACATTCCTGTGCTGCCACCACCGAAAACCCGTGGCGGGATACATCATCCACCGCTGCCCAACGCTGACTCCAACTGCCGATCCAACGTCTTGAAAACCGCCCGACCCCAAAGTTCAACCGACTGCCTTGCTCTCACGTTTCCATCGGCCCATGGCGAGCCATCCGACGCAACGCAACCCTCGTGTTTAAACGTCTCCTCGGTGCTTTCAAACCGCGCGCAGAAATTTAGCTTCGCACCTGCTGCGGCACGCCCACCACTTGCCGCGATCACCAGTCGCGTAGTTAGTCCACCACTGCAGAATACCAGGTCCTGGCCTGTTGTTTCGCAATAACAGCCGCAGATATACCTTCAAAGCGCATCCACCACCACGAGTCGGCGTCTGCCGTTCGACCCTCGTCGGCGCCTTAATTCAAGGATTCGTCTCCTATCTGAGTCTCTGGCCACCCTCGCCGGCTCGAGCTAGGCTAGCACACGCAGCTGCCATCCGCGCTTCTGCACCTCCAAGCAGGCATCAACCTAATTATCGCCATTGACTATCGCCCAATTTGGGCGTCCAACACCTCAATCCGAATGCCGGTTTGATCCTTCGTCCAAGAATCGTCCCGTATTGCGCATCCCAGAAGAAACCGTGCTTCAACGTATCTGTGGACAATCGGATCGCGGAGCTGAACTTCTCATTGCTTTTTCGCCGACAAAATGGAGATCCAAACACAATCGCGCGAACGCGAGAGGTCGCATCCCTCTCCCACCTACCCCCGTGCGGCTTCCAGGTCGAGTACAAGTACCGGCGCAACCCGACGCACCCCCTTAAGTGCTCATAGCTCGACTTCACACCTCGCATCTTCGCCACGACCGTCGAGTGGCCATCCTTCCCACAGATTCCACCACGCATCCTGCGCCCCATCCACCAGTTCACGGCCATCTTCGGTGCTATCGAGAGATCGAGGTTCAGAGTCTGGCAGGCAAAGCGCGGCTTCCAGCTACTTGCAGGAGAAGCTCCAAAAGAGGAGGGAGGAGACAGAACGGTTATCTGCTTTAGAGTCAACCCCAGAGATGAGCGCTTCCATGGAGCTCCCCGCTAGAAATCATAGTTCGCCTGCGAAGGGAAGCTCTGTCGATCGACCGAGGTCAAGCGGAGGAAACCCTGACTCGGCAAAGAAAAAGGGATTCGGCTTAAAAGAAATGGAGGCTGTGAGTTGGCCTCGCTCTGCCACATGACTTGACTAACACCAATTTACACAGACTGTTTCTACGCTGCACAAACAAAACTTTGACTTAAAGCTCGAGCTCTTCCACCGACGAGAGAGGCAAAGCGTTCTAGAAGATCGAATCGAAGCCCTGGAAGTAGAAAAGGCGCAGGTTGATGACGTGAACGACAAGTTACTCGATGAGCTGGAGAAAAGAGACAAGGCCGTCCAAGAGGCCGTTCAAATGATTGTGGCTCTCGAGGCACAGGTCGAAACACTGTTGCAAGAGCGCGAGATGGTGCGACAGGTCGATGCTGCTGGTTATCCTCCGCTGAACGATATCGAGTCGAGACTCAATGGGCCTACACCCAAGCCGAAGATTGCAGACTTGGCCCAGCTTGAGGAGGACGCCAAGGCTCTTAACCGTATGCCCAGCTTCATGTCGGATCGCACTGAAAATACGGAGAACTTGCGCAAGGTCTATCTTAGTTCCCGCGGCAGCATACTCAGCTTACCTCGCATCACGACAGAGGGCGTGGAGGATAACGATGGTCGTCGGATGAACAGCCTGACGAGCCCGAGCCTCAGCGTTCTCAGCGAAAGCTCCTTTACAAGCGTCTACGGAGAGCGGGAGGACCAGGACGAGACCATCGTGGCGGACCCGGAGGAGCCACCCACGATGGATGGTACCTCACTCCACTCTGAGCCACGCAAGCTTTCTCTTGGTGGTGACCTTACTCAACTCCACAGACCCGTAGCCATGGCGCCGGTGAGGCCAGACAGATCCAGTCGGTCTAGCTCTCTCAGCCGGGTACCGGGTCCCGGCCAGTTCCAGTCCATCCACGACATAATCGGCCACTCATCGCCTCTTCAAAAGTGGGCGAGACTCGATCCATCATGCTTGGACAAGTCTCCCACCCAGGAGCATTTCTCGTTTGCCAACCGAGGCCAAACGCACAAGTATGTTAAGGACGCGAAGCGTGAGACTATGCGTAGAGTCGTGACGGACGATCCCATGGCCAGGTCTAGCGAGCATACCCTCCCGCCGACACCTGATACAATCTCAACGTCGACACTGCGCCGCTTTAAGAATTCCAACGACACGTTATCGCGTCAACGCAACGTCTCGGGGCAGAGCAGCTACCCTTCTGTTTCGGATGGCACGTCTAGGGGCGACGATGCCGACCACATGGGAGGCGCCCCGGTCTTCGAGTCACCGCTGGTGTCCGCATTTGGGAATGGACCTGTCAGTGCCGCTCTCAGCAGCGCCTTTGATACCCGCCCGCCGTTGATCTCCCGCCCCAGATCTGCAGGTGAGAGCACCGTCTCTCGCAGGGGACCTGACTGGGAATCCGACAGCGAATCCGTCCATTCACTAGACTCGAGTCTCGACATTTGGCTGCAGCAGGGCAAGGAACCCAAGGGATACGACCGGAGCGATTCTCCCGATCTCTTCAACTTTCCTCCCTCCGGAGGAGGATGGGCGCCGCACACCATGTTCGGGTCGTCTGGGGGAACGTATAGTGTTCCCGGCCTCGCGCAGCAGCCTACTAACCCAGTCGAGGACCTCATGTCCGCTCAAGAAGCCTTGTTCCCAGATGCCGTCCATCCTCCGCCCGCTCCTAACAGGCGGTCCAGTCTGGGCGCGAAGACTGGGCCTACTTCGAGGAATTCGCCCGTCCATGGCAAGCTTCGGAAGTCGCCCTCTCGTAGCGGATCGCGACGTAACAGCAGTGTTGATGCGCAGACGCTCCAAGTATCCCAGTCCGGGGCTCACACCCCCCAACAATCAGAGTCGAAGGCTGCCTCGCGGTCGAAAGACAACCATTATCCACCTGCATCTGGGTCAACACCGCGGGGGCATAGGCTGAACTTCTTCCGTCGTTCAATTGGTGGAGGATCGGCGCTTCCGACGGTCGAGGTTGACGAGGTTCCTCAATCAGCATCGGCAGCCCCGATGGGTGTTCCGTCGTGGGTACAGCGCGGCAATTTGGCGGACGGCGAAAGAACCAGCGCGACTCCACCTCCGATTATGCGTAACCCCAGGCAAGGCCGCGCGGTGAGCGTTGACGAGGGCGCGCCGATTCACGATCGACCTCCCATGACTCCAACGACACCTGCTGCTCACCACACGACTCTCACGCCTGTGTCTAAGGGATCAGCTTCTGGCGAGACGACCCCTACGAGCAACAATGCCAGTGGAGGGGCGCCATTGAACAAGCGAAAGTGGCTGCCGGGCTTCAGTAGGACTAGCAGTCTTAGGAACCGTGCTGGCTGAAGAGGCCGGTCGTTTGCGGAGCTGTTTTCCAGTGTCGTTGAGGATAGAACAATGCCGCTTCCGTAGTGGATGACAGGGCTTGGTTAGGCCTTTCAGGGCTTGATAGCCCACTGTATTTTAACAGCTCCCGAGGAGCTTCCTTTTTTGGTTTATGGCATCGTGGGACACAGATACCCAACTGGTTAGGCCTGGAAAAGCGTATTACTATGATTCCGAGGAGGTTGATTATGATGCGGGTGGTCTTAATGAGGCATGAATAGATGGGGTTTAGGCTTAGGGGCGTCACCACGGGTGCGTGACGCCCAACAAGACGGCGTTAATGGTTGGGTGTAGTGACAGCACCGCGAGGACAGCAACAAATGGATCACAGTATCCTTTGAAGAAAAAAATTGTGTTTTTGAGTCTTAAACAATGAACCATTTGCAAGTTTCTTTTCGCGCATGTCTTCCGTGAGGGTGTAGACCTTGGGGAATCCCCGCCGGCCCTGGGCAGTCGGCCGTAGCCGAACTTTATCCCGCCCCGGCGCCAACGACGGAAATGTGGGGACACTACTAACCTCAACCTTCCCCCTGCATGAGCTGACTTCACAATGTCATCTCTTCCACGCGCATATGCGCTGCTCATGTCGTGGATTTTATCTGTTCAACTTCCCACTATCGTTGATCTTTCCATCAGTCACTATCATCAAGATTTTTCATCCTCTTCTTGCTGAAGGCCGATTAGTTCCGGCGGCGTTGTTTGGGAGCAGGTTTGTCCCGACGAACTTTCCGGCCAACAACGATATCAACGACCAAGACTTTTCTGAGTGCTTCGGTTCCGATGGATGAGAAGGAGCCCCGGACTCGGGCAGAAGCAGATGATGTGAAGGCGGTCGAGACGGCGTGTCCGAGCGTGTTGGCGCAGATCCCCCTCGCGGCGACGACGCCGCTCGCCCAGTTTCGCATTGTGACGCGGATGATACTCCCGCGGGCTGTGGGCCAAGCGCTTTGGAGGGGGGTGTATGCTTGTGGTGTGCCGAGGGTGGAGTGGGGACGGAAGTGTACGGCGCTGGAGGGGTTTTTTGCGGAGGGGAGGGTTGAGCTTGTGGTGTTTGCGGTGCTGGTGAATCATGTTCGGAGGATGGTGGTCAAGGGGAGTGTGGTGGGTGGGTTTGGGGGGGTTGTGGCGGGGGTGAAGATGGCGGTTGGGAGTCCGGATATCTTTTTGAGGGAAGAGTTTGAGAAGGGATGGGGGGATGGGGGGAAGGTTTTGGGAGATTTGGTTGGGATGATGGCGGGGGAGGTGCTGGTGAGGTTTGATGAGAGAAGGAGGGGCGATAGAGAGGTGGTGAGGAGAGAGGCGAAGGGTGCGGTCGTTGCGGCTGGTGTGATGGTTGTGTGGATGCTTGGAGCCGCGGAGTATATCCACGCTAGGGTTGCGCATCTCGTTGCTGTGGGGATTGCGTATTGGAGGATGGTTAATGGCGGGGAGGTATATCACGAAGCTTTATGGAGGGTTTTCTGTCCCGAGGGCCCGTCGTTGATGGCAGTCGTCCAGAAAGGGGGATACGGCGCGTTGGGGAGGGCTTTCGTGGAGGGCTTCTGGGGCAACGAGCACCGCTTTCGAATCCTCTTCTTCCACGCCGAGTTAGTCGTGTACGCTGTTTATGGGGTCTACCCGTTGTTGAGGCTGGCGATGACGAGGGCGCTCGGGTGGGCATGGGTTCGGGGAACGGGTTGGAGGTGGGTTGGGATAAGTCCGTGGCTGGCGGTGCTGATTGCGGGGTGGGCTTGGGGGACGGGGTTTGTGGCGCGGTATTCGAATAAGTATTTTATTGGGTTGCAGATGTGTGATATGGTGTTGGTTGGGTGGTGGATTGGTCTGGTTGGGGGAATGTTTGGATGGGGGTTTGTGAAGGGGCGGGTTGGGAGGTTGACGGGGGTCAAGAAGGTTGGAGGTTGAGGACATGGAGGAGTTTCTGATTTAGATGCATGATTGTGGGCTCTCAAGGGAGTATAAAGGGATGTTTGGGTTGCATGGAGGTGATGAGAACAAGCCAATGGCTCGATCCCATATATCGAGATTGTGGACTTCAATTCAACACCCCTGGACGAAGCCTATGTTGCCCCATGAACTCAAATTATGTCTGCAAAAGTGTCTCTCTGAAGCTCCAAAAACGTCTGCTGGTGTCTTTGTTCGAGCATTAGCCTGAGTCAAACGAGAATATACGCCTCCTCTGGTATTGCCATTTCGAATTGGCTCCATGTCTAGCCACCCAACGTTGGTGAGAGACCTTGGTCCGCTGGTATGAAGCTTGATACAGACCGCCAATATCAATCTCATTGCCGTTCGCAGGAACTATTTATTATGGGAGTAGATGTGAGCTCAATAGTAGGATGCTCTAGGCTACGATGGCTTCGGCGAAGGGTTGAAGGAGCTATGATCGAGAGCCTTGTAAGTGTAAGCGCCATCTAAATGAAATGTAGATAGTTGCGATGGGTGAGATCCCACCTGCACCAGACCTCGAAGCAGTGGTGGGTATGAAACTGAGTCGTCGGATGATGCTTTTCTAGGTTGGAACCAGATTGATTTCATCTTTCACTCGCATGCTGTGTGGGAGACACGGGCGACATTGTTACTATCACCTAGGTAACAATCCATCCTCGCGGCGGGGGTGGTTTCAGGTGACTTGGTCACATTCCAGATTCTCGTCTCTGTTTCTTCTGAAGTATTTCGTCACACTCGCAGAGAATAAGGATGACTTCAAGGCTGCCACGTCTCTTGAGATGGCGGGAGCGGACACCAGCAGTCAAGGTGTCCAAGATTGACACTTTCGTAGGTCTTTAGAAGTAAGTCCTAAACCATGGGTTGACCGCCGCCGGCATCCCAGCATTTGGCCCTGGCCAGGAAATCCCATTGCTTTGATGGGTTTAAATACTGGAAAGCGTTTGGGTTATGGTAGTTTCAGCTGGAGGTTGGGGGCACTGCAAATATTCATTGTTAGAGGGTGGAAGAAGAAATGGAGGGGGGGGCCGAAATGCGATACATATATTGCAGTCGCTACATTCGAGAGGGACTACCCGCAAATCAGGGAGAATGTTGGATGGTGTGCGAATGTGTGGGGGCCTTTTTGATATCCTATCATGTCGGCATTGACTCTGAGCCCTGTACTCTAGGGCTGAAGTGTGCAACGCTGATTGTGGGTGGATGCAGAGTCGGTTGAATGTTGGTGTTTCTCTGCTGTCCTTCCTCCGTCTTGATATATTAGGGGGTTGGGAGCAGTCAAAAGGGTTAGAGATTAAGAGCTCGACTCATATAAGTAGACTTATTCGGCCTTTAAGTATAGCCCTTCCAAGGAATATAAAAGGACGTTGTTTTCCGAATTCAGCTGATGAGGGCAAGCCAATTTGGACGACGTGATGTAAAATGTGGTATTGCTGAAAGAGACAAGGGGCCGTTGCCCCTCAACCACATCATATCAGTAAAAGGATCTCTTCTAGGGTCTCAAATGTTCGCTAGGTGTTTTCCCTCGAGTATTTGTGTGACTTGAAGGGGAATTTATGCGTGCTTGGGACTGGGAGTATCGATCGACGAGGTCTTAATTGACCAGAGCTCATTGGAAGACTTCGTCCCCGTCCTGCGGAGATGGTAATTCGAATAGAGGAAAGGTTAGCGTCGATCCTTGGATCCGGAAAGCTCAATTCATCAAATTGACACGGTTTAAATACTAGGAGATTACGGGCGGGCCTAGCCTCAGTGAAAGATTTGAGGTACTGCAAAGATATATTAATCATGGGCAGACTAGATCTGAAGTATTTATTACGGGTCTGTGGACTGAGAACATGTTTCTTCTGCAGCAATTCAAGGAGTAAGACTGCGTAGGCTTTAAACTTTTGGAGCCTGATATGGTACTAGCTGCGTCTGAGTCCAGGCCTCGAATTCGCAACTTTGTGGTTAGTGGGCATGGTGGCTGGCATAAGCTTGACGGAAGATCTTCGTTTCTGTGTCTCCTCTTCTTTGGTGTATCATGGGTGAGCCAGCAAACGGTGACGCTGGGCGACGGTCTCCAATGATAACAGCAAGATCCATGACTCCCGGAAGCATTATTACAGCTACAATTTCCGAAGAGAGATTGATTTAAAAGTGACCAGAACCACTGACTTGAAGATCATACGGCAATAAAGGCCGCTGGTAGCCTGGTGCAATGTGATTATGGGTTGCACTTCCCTAGGTTTGTGATGGACTACGCAGTGCACGTTTTTAGTATGTGAGGTCTGGGGTCTTGCTGTTTACTTGGAATGGATGACTGAATCTTCTGTTAGTATCTGTTATTGGCGGGGTATTCCGGGGTTCCGGATCCATTGATATCAGATGGGTTGACGATTCAGACTTAAAAATTCCAAGGCAAGGACAATATGTCCGCCAGCTGGTTTGTTCAGATGCATGGAAATAGTCCACCCGAAGGGATACTTCCATTTGATTTGGCCTTGCCTCCATCTCAGTCATAGTGACAGAACAGGGACTTATATGAGGCTTTGCTCCCCATTCTGAAGTGGACAACATGTCCTTCAGGGGCCCTTGATGTTACAGTCGACGAGGTATCGCAGGCGCAGGCTTGTGAGGTACGACTCCGATGTTTACGGATATCTTCCTTGCAATATAAGAGGGCTTTCGATATCTTTCTTCCCTTCTAAAAAATGAATGCCATTCCAGAAGTCTCTTTCAGATCAGACAAACCTACTAGGTAGGACACAGAGACATAGATTGGCTACCTGAAGCTCTCAAGGGAACTCATACCTAGGCCTTGCGGTCCGTCTCTCTGGGAGTTTGGGTGGCGCATACCTCATGGATGAGAGCTGACGACGAAGACGGACGCGACCGCGGTGTGAAACATTCGAGTACTGGTTAACATTTAAAATGCAAAGCTACCAGTTTCATTGTGTTCGGAATACCCGCCCTCTGACCATGACTCATCTTGTGTCCTTCACTGGCAGTATCCTCATCTGTGTACTGTTCATGCG